AAGACGCAGACTGACTGCGAGCTGCTCCTCGAAGACCACGATCTCGTTGTGACCATGATCCCAAGGAAAGTTGCCTAAGGAGATGCTATATACGAAGTCGTTGGGGAGTCTGTACCAAGCTACTAAGGATAGGAGACTATTCGTTGTCATTATTGACGGGCCGAAGCCGTCCAGCAAGCGACCTCGGTGTGAATTGGAGGCCGATTTTTCCATAAGACTCTCGCTCTCACCGAGGTGAGTCCGCCTTGGACGGATTGGGGTCCACATCCTGTGTCGAAGTGCCCACCTCGGTAGGATGAGGCTCCGCGGTTTGTGCCGAGGTGCCCACCTCGGCCCCAACGGACTCGACGCTCCCATCTAAAAGACTATCTAAGCTAAGACTAGACATGCTAACAAAAAAGACAACAGAATCAAAAAGCAAAGGGAGACGAACTCACCAAAAGAAGACCGAAGAAGACCGAAGAAAGCAATACGACCTCGGACCCAGAAATAGCTGACACCGAACTGGGATACTTGAACACGACCTCAAGGATTTTGGATTCGCAGATTTGTGGAGAAGAAAATAGACCCTTTGGCACCTATTTATAACCAGTATATCTGGGAATCAACGGTCAAGATCAACACGATTGGTTACACGCCTCCCGAGGTTGAAATCAGTTTAGCGTGCATTTTGACATCCGCGGAGACTATAATCGGCTTGACGTCCGCACATACTTGAATGGTCTAGCATCAAGCCTAAATGGGTTGACGAATAGCTCATTTAGTGTGTCTATTTGAATCCACTCCCTTTTTTTTCTGCAAAGTTATTGTTTGAATCTAGAATGCACCAATTAAAGGCCTAGGATTAATATTTGGGGTGAGCATGGGCTGGTTTAATTCGACACCAAAGTTGAACTTGGAACCTACCCTATAGGGTTGGTTTCAAGTTTTTGGAACTATAACCTCCCTATAGGGTTGGTTTTAAGTTTTTGGGACCGGAATTTACCCTATGAAGCAGTTTTCACCAAGGCCAATCAAGCTGCTTCTCTGAGTCAATTCAGATAGAGAAAACCCCTAGACCCTAAAATTAGCTTGAATGGGATTGGTTCAAAGAATTTTGAACCAGATCTTACCCGAAGACAGACTGGATAGGATCAATTCAAGGCAAATTCAAGGTCAGTTCCAAGTAAAATCTACCTATTTGCTCATCTTTAGTTAATACCTAATGTGGTTGATTAGTTGGACTCTTTGATTGATCTAATGGTTTCAAAAGTACTTCACATTGGTTGGCATACCTTCAATATTAAAAGCAACTAAGGAATTTAAGGAACCACTAATGCAATTTTTCCATATAAAAATAATAGATGCACATTTTGAAAATTTAGAGAGAGAGAGGGAGAGAGAGAACCAACTATTAACAACAACATGAAAATAAGAGAGAACCACGACACCAATTGGAAGGGCCAAGTTGTTGGTTGAAGGACTTCTGTTGTCATTGATAGATAAAGGAAAAATTAGGTTTTACAAATGTTACTTGTTACAACAATCAGATGCAAACAGAATTGTATACTATAAGGTTATGTTTGGTTTGAAGGAAAAGGTAGGAAAAGGAAGGGAAAGATATCAAAACCTATTCAAGATTTATAAAGATTTTTTTGCCTTTCCTTTCCTTTCCCTACTTTTTTCCTTCAAACCAAACATAAGGGATTTTGTAAACAATTGGGGTTATAAGTCTTTGTTGAAGTTGGTTGCTCTGTTTACATTGTTGTTTGTTTTATTCACGAAACAGTTGAAGTGGCTAGATTGAACTTACTCCATGTTTGGTTTTGTGGGGCTTAAACAGTTGATGAAGTGGCTAGTTTATGTAATGAAACAGTTGAAGCACTTTTCTCGAATATTGTGCTTTACAAACCAAAAGTACCCCCAAAAGCGTTAGGTGAAAAGGCAATAAATGGGCTCTTTTGCATCGAAAAAGAAGTCAGTGGGCGATTTCTGACTTCTTTCGTACTTATTAATTATTATTCATGGGAGATATTCTCAATGCACGGTGGATGTACCTGTGAGGCGCCCATTTGTGAGGAACAGATCCCATCACGCTACAACCATGTTTGAGTAAATGTGTTTTGAGGTCAATTAGAYCGTGTGGAGCTAGTGTAAGAACATCTATGGACTTGGTAATTTATTTACAGCAAAGAAAATGATGTTTAGTGGGCATAAGTAGTGTTTATACATGTTTTTTATGTTTATACACAATGGAGGGTGATATTTTTATATTGGCAAAAGCCTGTTTTGAACCAAGCATTGTGTCAAATAAATGCCTTTTCATTAAAAACACACCCTAAAAAAATCACCTTATCAAGCAGATTTAAAAGTGCTTTCTTATATGTGATTATTGAAAAAAAAACACTTTTGAAAAAGCTCGTTCAATAGCACTTTTCTCTTAATTCTTAAAGCACTCCATACCAAAAACTCACCTTTAAGAGCATTTAGTTTAGAATTGGGATCTGGTCCTCACAAAGCACTCCTCTCACATTGACCTCACAGCCACATCCTACTGTGTATTAATCCGAAACAACTCCCATGAATAATAAATACAAGTACAAAAGATATTCCTAATGTGTGGCAGGACATGCTGTGAGCTCGGTGTAAGGAGGAGATCCGGCCTCTTTAGTTTAATCCATAATGTACTATATGGCAATTATTCTACTATTTGTTCTCCAAAAATACTCCCAAAAGTTCATCCATTTACATATGCTATAATATAAATTGATGACCCTGGGGTGATTGGATTCAGATTCTTTTGAATTTGTTTTCTCTTTTTAGTTTGATCTCCCTGCTTCTGTGCTTCATGTCTATCATATCTCTCACCGTGTCTCTCTATCTCTTTAATTTCTATTAATATTAGCAAGGTTATTGGGCTTACAACTCATACCATCGAATTTGAGTTCAACATTAAAAGGAATAAACATCTTGAAAGGAATCAACTATGCATCGACAGTGGCTAGAATCCATGATGAACGTAGTAAGAACTACGAGCCTTTTAGGTTCATAGCTGGAATCGGAATCAAAATCTTTCGGAATTGGAATCGGAATGGTCTATTCTCATAGTCTGTCTGGCTCAGACAGGAATGAAAATGAGAATTAAAATTAGTAGGAATGAGATTTCATTCCCAAGGGAAGGGCAAGGAATGGCCATTCCCTCAAATGGGGGAATGTCATTCTAGCAGGAATGGGAATGGGATTTCGTTTCTATTCAATCAAACAGTTGGAATCGAAATAGCCCATTCAGATTCCARACCCCTATTCCTACGATCAAATGGAACCTACATATAAATCACTACCCTTTTCTTAAAAAAGAAAAGATTTGTGTCTTTTTTTTCTCTTTTTTCATTTCATTTTCACTTTTCGTTTGTACTTTCATAGGACATCAAAATAATGCAAGTTTAATTCAGAAAGAGAATTACTTTTAGGCCTTTTTCATTTGTAAGAGTGCAACTTACCTGAGTAAGTGCACTTACCCATGTTCTTTTGATTTTTAGGATTCCTAAGTAAATAATAAAATAACATTTTTACCCACAAAAAGTAATTATTAAAATGAGTAATATTATGTTTTGTAAAAATTTCTCACAACTGAAAAAGTTATTTACCCACCTKGGAGTGGGTAAGTTTTACCCAAGAAAGTAAGGGTAACTTTACTATAGGGCCCATTGCTTAATGCAAAAAGAACATAGGAAAGGGTAACTTTACGAACCGGACCTTAGAGAAGATAGGAAGTAAAAAACATGTCAATCCTAAGGAAATTTTTGCCCTTGCATATTTGAGTAATTCCATTTCAAAAATAAGCACATGAAGATTTGCAGAGCGGCCGTATCATTTTAAATGCTGTTTATTTATTTTTATTAAGGGAGCACAGATAACCTTCAATGGACAAATAGCATTATTTGAGAATACTGTGAGGAACGACTTATGCCATTATTCCAGAACCTTGGGATCCTATCCAAACCAGGCATGGTGGTATATCGTTCAATTTCCTCGAGAAGGAACATGGTCAGTGTTCAAACCAGAAAACTGCCTAACTCTAACCGAAACAGATGAGTGAGGAAGGGAAAGGAAAAGGGAAGATGTCTGTGAGCATTTAATAAGGTTGACGAGTTATTCATGGGTAATTTGGACAAATAAATTGTTTAAATGATTATGTGACAAATTCTAATCATTATCATTTCAAAAGGGAAGAAGAGTGATTTAACTTTGAACAATAAAAGCTCACCAAAAGTCATAGTGAGTTTTAGATAATATTCCTAAATTAATAATGATGCATTAACACATGACAAACCATTATCATTTTAGGGCCCTACTGTTAAAATGGATTGCACTCTGACCTTCCATTACTGAGTTCAGATGAAATTGGGATCTCACCAAGTGCGTCTCACAGTCACATCCTATTCTGTATGAATAATAAATACAAGTACAAGAGATGTTCCAGATGTGCGGCCAGAACATGCTTTTAGATTGGTGTGAGGCACGCTCTGTGAGGAACAATCCAGACTCGTTCAAATGAGCTATGGGAGATGTTCCCAATGATGTGCCCTGGGGCGCATGTGGGGCACGGGCCATGAGAATTCCACTCAGTATGACACTCTGATTACAATTCTGTTATGACTTTAACAAGGTGTCAACCAACTGGTTGGTAAGGTCTCTRCTGGTTGTAGTGGAGACTTGGGATCATATCCCGCATACACCTGAGTTGGGGGGATTATGGGTTGGGGGATGGGGTACACCCCATTGTATAGCCCTTCAAAAAGTTAAAAAAAAAAAAAAAAAAAAAAAAAAAAAAAGAAAGATCTGTTATGACTTCATTTCGGGGTTTCCATAATGTATCGATTCCGCTGATGAAGTGATGAATATTGTTCTCTTTCATGTTCACTAGATTATAATCCGTAAATTCAGTGGAAGTGTTGAGTCTTCGGCACTTGGTTGAATGGCAAAAAGAAGACGCACCAGCAATAAACAGGGTAGAAGTAGAAGTGTAGAACATAATTTCCAGAGACTTCTTATTAATACCGGTACAGATCACAGAGTGGTAGTAAGAGGCTAAGAACTTATTTAATGGAAGAAAAGAAACAACAAAAATCAATGGCGTTTTTATTTAGTTCTGATAATTTTATGCAGCGGCAGTGATGCATTCAATTGCCTGTTTGCATATGCCTGTCATCGTTGCTTCAGGTCCATAAACCTGTAAAAGAAAACAAAATTGGAATGCTCTTAGAAGTTTTTTTTAACCTTTGCTTAAGCAAATTTCATTCATATGATAAAACCAAAAGGAACACAAAGAATGAAACATCTAGCCTGATTAGCTATATAGTGAGCAGCATAGAGTTTCTATTAATATATATCATAGAACATGAAACAGGAAGGAGGTCTAAAAACTGATTTCATCTATGAGGATCTGGTTGGACAATGAAGCGGTCAGTCTCTTAGAAGCCTTTTTTTTTAAACTTCGTTTCACCATCAATTAGCAGCTCTTTTTACTTTAGTTTGTTTCAACACCAATGCATCCATAACAATAAAATGGTTTGTGAGATCACATGTCAGGTTTCATTACCTCAAGAGGAATGCCAATTTCCTCTCCAAGTGTGCGCATCTTTGCTAGACCCTTCTGATAATTCGGGCCTCCTCTCCTCACGTATATTTGCATTCTTGCAGCTTTAAGCTTTGCTTCCTGTTAATCCAACACAATCCTCAGTGTTTGCCTTTGAATACATGAAATAATTTGTTGCTTCATACAAGAAACCGAGGCAGATTAAAAGCTCACCTTCTCTCTCAAGGCTCGAATTATGCCACTAAATGTAGCAGCAACATCAGTGAAGTTGGCTATTCCGCCTCCAATTACAAGAGCTCTCTTGCGGCCATCAGGATTTGCAGTTGCACACTGTATAGTTCCAGATAATTCAAAGAGAAAGCTATGAGAAATCAATTATTGCATTTTTAAGTCTGTCTTAGATGCCTAGAAGCAGTTGATTACTGTAACTAGTACCATCTGTGCACTATATAGTTTAACAAAAGCATACTAGAATTAGAGTAATCAAATTAGTAGGTTAACTACATAGAGGACTTTTTATTTCAAATCATCCAAGAACAGGAAAGTAGGAAAGAGAATTACATCAATTACGACTCTGGCATACTGCAGCACCTCCTCTTCATTTGGGGCTCCACTATATTCTGCATAATTCCCGAGTTCATTAGCGTAGCCAAGATCACCAACCTGGTTATAAAATATTTTCAAGTGTAAGTAAATAATGAGAGAGAGAGAGAGAGAGAGAGAGAGATTCCAATGCAGGAGGATGTGAGCTGTACGGTATCTGCATAGATGACACTAGCACCTCCACCAGCTACCATGGTCCAAATTCTTCCTTTTGGGTTCAATACTGTGAATTTCAGAGATGCACTAGTCTGACAAGAATGAATGTATAGGTTAAAAAGGCTTTATTGCATTAATTTATTCAAAACAACTATACTATTTTTCTATGCCATTATCATGGATGAATTGTTTCTACTGTTAGCAATAGGACATTGGGCAAATATATAGAACTCCAAGATTGCAGACAAGAATTTCGAAGTTTATCTCCAAAGAGGCATATATTCCTGCGAAGTAATTAATGTCTCCATTTTTCACCTTAAAAGGGGTAAAGCTTTTCAATCTGAAATATTTCTGTTATATACCTGACCCTTTTCAGGTAAAGCAATGGCTTCCACCCCTTTTACATGAAAGAAAATGCAGCCAATTGGAAAGCCTTGCAAGATCCAAGTAGAACGGTAGGTAACTGAATAATGAAAAAAATAAAAGATGGGGTCAAGAATCAGGCCTGGGTTGGACCACCATGAGGAAGCACGATGAAGTGACACCTGGCCAAGCCGAAGACCACCACGTGCCCAGAGCTCAGATGAGCCGAGGAACAGTGGCATGGTGCATATGCCCCAAAGGCTAATGTTGGTTCACTCCGCAACCCTCAAGTGAAGTGGGGACATGTGGTGAACACCAGGCGAAGCCTGCCATGCCACCAAGGTTGGCACCAACACCCCAGAGCTTCACACTCAGGACGTAGGGTGCACACCCCTCAAACCCTAGTTGCTAATCACCTCGGAAGCTGACATGTGTCCCATAAGTGAAGAGCACAACGGCACTCCCTAACAGGTATATAAGGGCACGCCACCCAAGGTGAGATTTTCTTCACACTCTCTAGCTTTCGAACTCCCTACATTGGTCTCTTGCTCACCTACTTCAGCTCGTAAGGATAAGATCAGCTCGGCCTACCTGACCACCACTCTCTCCCACTGACTTGAGCATTGGAGTGCTCCTCCCTAGGGAACCACCTCAGGGCCTCTGACTTCTATGTGTGTAGGTCGTTGGACCAACTCAGTTCGTCCAGCTCAGCAACAAATTCATCTGCTGCTTGCCCACCTCAGCTCGAACAGCATCAAAAAGTTACATTTTCTTTTTTTTTTTCTCTTCTTTTAGAGGACTAATTCAACTGGTAGGTAAAATCTTGGGCTGGCAAGCGTGAGAAGCAGGTTGAAGTCTTTTTTCTTTTTTTTTCACAAAAGAAATTCATTAAGATAGATAAAACCAGTACATAACTAGAACAGACACAAAGAGAAACAACTAACTACGACGGAGAGTAGATGAACACAAGGACGCTCTACTGATGTCTATGGGATCAGATTCCACCAAACCAGTAATCCGGCTTGGAAAGATGAAATGGAAACAACCCTGATCCCACATACCTTCACTGAACTAAGGTGTAATCCACCCTGTTACAGGACCTGTTAACAAAGGTTGGGATCTTAGGGCTGTCACTTTCTGAAAACTTAGGATCTTACCAAGCTTACCCCTCCCAATACCCCAGATCACTGGGACCAGCATTGGGTAATGGCCTTTATTCAACTGAAGAAACTATGGATGAACAGAATAAACATATTCATCTGAATATTCTACAGCCATGTAAATAATGAGATAAAAATGCAGAAAATTATGAAACAGGAAAAAGGTTTCAATTATATGGCCCTACATGGAACAAAATAGGTAGCAGGATTTATGTGAACCCAAATAGTATAAGAATTAAAAAGAATTAGAAGGGACTATCAAGAAATAGAAAGCCAATAGGAGTCTACATAGAGAATTTGAAACCAATTATTTCATGATGTGATAATGTGTTTAGAAAATTTTCACTACATCAACAAAAGGTGCATATAATGCCAAAAAAGACATGAAATACTTTAACTTCATTATCTACCTTTTCATCTAGCCCATGAATAAAGCTTTCTGTGGGACTCATAACTCTTCCAAATGGCATTGGAAACTCAATATTACCCCACCTGCACAAGTAAACTGATATGAAACAGATACTAGAGCTTTTAACCTGTAAAAGCAAATAGAAATGCACTGATTTATTTGATTTATACAATGTATCATAGATAAAATCAGTAGCCCCACAGGATAATGAAATTATACTTCTTAAAATTTTTGAAAGCAGCAGTATCATCCAGCTCCCCTCTCATATCCAGAGGATAAGGCTTTCCATCAACCAAAGTAAAAGGATTCATCTCCAGGAAAGTGAAATCCAGATCTGGGTAAAATTGAATTTGCAAATTAATTTCTACTTACTAGAATTGCTGCTGAAGTAATTCTATGAAACGTCAAATGAATTAGTAAAAAAGCATACCTGAAAATAGAGAGAAAATCACTTTGACAAACTCCCCAACTTTATTTTTTATCTGTATCAATAGAGTAAGCGCCACAATTTACAATTTACAGATTATAAATAGTATGTTTAAATTTCCCAAGCAATCAAAAGATATATGTAGAATCACATCAAAAGATGTGTGGTATATGTATCACTACTTCCACATATGCATTAAGAAACTTAGGCTTGTCCACTGGATTAAAAAGAGGGAAAAAATTCCTGCTGCCAGTTTAAAGCATTTACTATATAATATTTATATTAGGCATGCCCATTGTAAATAATAAGAAATAGATGAAGAATCCACCTGGTTACAGATAACACAGGGAATTACCTCTAGGGGAAGAGTTGCAAATAGCGGAGCACATGTTTCTGATGTTAATGGCACCCCAGTTGGAATAAATACAATCTTTACCTGAAAAAATGTAGTAGATATCTTCAGAAGAGGCAAAAAGTAAAAGAAGTATTATAGGACCAAATTCCAATCATTTTTTTAAGATGCTTAGAAGGAAATGTATCAAATTGTATACATTAGTAAATTTGTCTTAATCATTATATTATTTTTCTTTTATCATAAACAGTAGAAGTAGTCTATTAACATATCAGTGTAATTATGAAAAAGTACAGATCCCCAGTATAATGCACATGAAAAAAAAGACCCATGATTACCCAATGCCCACAATCAGGTCCTCTACTCAAAATATAGAAAAATAATCTAAACTCAGCAGCAAAATATCACCAAAAGCTTGTTTCTCAGGCGTCTAATCTCAGAAGATTATCAGTAAGCAACTTTGATGTTTTAGGAGTTCAATGGAATGAGAAGCCCACATTCTTTTGCATACAACAAATGAAAGCTATGTGCACTGCATTTATGGGTGTATGCATGCAGATATTGATATATAGGTACACAATGTTCAGGCCATGAACATACCTTATCCCAGTTCTTTTCAATTTCAATTCCTCCACAATCTGAAAAGCTTATACTACATCCAAGCCGCTCTGAAACAATATTGAGATAAAATTCTTCATTGTGCGGAATGAAGGGCTCAACAATGAATGTTGTTATAGGGCCCTTACAACCCCCCATCTCCACCTATAGACGTTCAGAGATAAATATAAACGGAATAGGTTGATATTATATAGGATGATGCACAAGGTTAATCACCACTCATTAGAATTGAGCTGATAACATTAAATACCTCTTTTCCAAGCCTCTCTTTGGCAAAGGTAATAACTTCAGCCAGATTTAAATTTAAGGCCACTAAACCACTCTTCCCACGTTTCCCGAACAACATATCAGGCTTCACAACCAGTTTTCCCGATAAAAGCCATGGTTCTCTTTCTGCTAGCTCATTGAAATCAGTCGACTCCGTAATCTAAGCACCAAATAGAAAGTAAAGGCATCTTTGTCGTTAGATGAAGAACCAAATATCACAATCAATCCTTCATATATTATTTGTTAAATTCATCAAATTTTCTTTTACAGCAAAAGAAAAAAACAGATAGAAATTCAAATTTCAAAATACTTTTTTGAGATACAGTTGGATGAGAATGCCTACATAATGAAGTTAACATAGATAACTGAGTTTAAATTACGTGAGAACAAGCATATAAGGTAGTTCCTACATGTGATGAAGCTGCAAGTTAGTTGAAATTAAAGTTAGGACACAGTAAAGCAACAAAGTTAACTCTGCTCAGGATATTTACAAACTAGTAAGGTAATAGAAATGCAGAGCTCTTAGCATTAACCTTATAATCACCCAACAAAGAAAAGGAAAAGAAAAAAAAAAGAAAAGCAAAGGTTCTATTTCAGCACTCATATATTGGAGTCGGACGTGCCTGTGCCGATTTAATGCCCAATTCTGTACCAGAGAGCCTCTTAAAATGCTCCTTCAACAACCGCTTCGAATCATACTCTCTGATCTTCTTCCGTGCCATCCTTTAACCTGTTTGGACAACGTCAGGTCATGAGAATAAAATTTCTTAAATAGATGTGCATGCATATTCTGATGACAAAAATTCGAGAAAAAAATCGAATAGAGAAATAGAACAACGAAATGAGAAATATCAGAATCAAGGATAATAAATACAAAAGAACTGAAACAGAGGGAAAAAAAACGATTCTCGAAATGACATTAAACCCAGATGACCGGAGTTCAAAGTGAGAGAACTAAAATAGGAAGGTTGTATAAAAAAAAAAAGAGTAAATTTTAAAGAAAGGAAAAAAAGACAGACACGTAGAACAGAGACCAATATCATAAAGCCATAAAGAAAAACAGGGAGGAAGACATGGCAGCATGCTCTGGTTAGAAAAAGCGAAGAAGTTGAACATGGAAACTACACCTATGAAGTCTGAAGTAGAAAGAGAAACGCAGGAGAGGTCTTAACGGAAATGAAAACTGTCAGGTCTCTGTTCTACTTATAGAAGCGAAGTTAAGAGCATGACACACCTAACCTAAACGTTAAAATCGTTGAAGGGATGAACAACAGCAAGCTTAAGCAGCTGAAATCGTTGAATTTCAGATGTACTAGTGTGGACAGGGGAGGTAGGTAGGACTAGAATGTACAGAGTTTTAACCGTGCAGGAAAAATATGAAGGTGAAGCTCTATTTTTTTTTTTTTTTGAAATAGAATCTGGGTCCAACATCTTCTAATAAATAGTAAGCAGTGTGACTGCGCCACGTAGACACAACATACCGTATCATCCATCCTTGGTGAGATGCAATGAAGCTGTAGAGTCGCTCATTGTTGAGACCGGATCTGCTCGTCACAAATGGACGCCTCACATGCATATCCACCGTGCATTGGGAATATTTTCCGTCAATAATAATTAATAAGTACAGGAGATGTTCCCAAGGCATGGTAGGATGGGCTTGTGAGGCGCCTGTGAGGCGCCAGTTGTGAGGAGCACATCCGGTCTCGTTATTATTAGAGATGTAAATTGGGACGTACCGCCCGCGGCCTGTCACGATGGTCTGTCGGTCATGTCAAGTTTGGCACGATCTTGCGGGCCGTGCTGGGCCTGGGGTATTATGTCCACGGGTCGGCATGGCATGGCATGATCGAACGGGTTATGTCGTCCGTGGCCTGCAGGCTGGCATGGCTCATATATATATAATATAAATTATAATTATATAATAATATATAGTATATAATATAATAATAAAATAAATATTTTTTTTAATTTTGTTATACTAATTATTTAATTGTTGTATATATAAGCAATTGTGTACACAAAATTTATATAAAATTAAAATTTTAAGTTTTTTGTCAAATTTTTTGAATAAATAGTTTGGCCCGACCTGGCCCATAGGCCAGCCCGGCCTATGGCACGGCACGGGCCCACACAGGCTTGGGTCGTGGGCCGAGCTGGGCTGACCCCCAAATTTTTCATCGTGGAGGGCGGCATGGCCCGTAACAACCCATGGGCCAGCACGGCATTGCTTGGTACGGCCCACTTTACACCTCTATTCATTCTCGTTTGAATTCATTTCACATGACGTTTGGACCAAACGCCATACTCACGTTGTGGTGAGTCCAGATTTCGTACTGACGACAAGCCGACAACTCTACCCACACTTAACCACATTACATCTTAGTCACACATGGAAATAGACTTGTTCATGGGCCGGGTAGCCCGACGGCCCAGCCCGCACCCCGGTCGGGCTTGGTCATATAATTAGGCCCGCGGGCCTGACCTCGGGCTTAACACAGTAAGCCCGACTGTTTTTCGGGTCGGGCTCGGGATTTGTCAAAAAAGCCCGACCCGAGCCCGGCCCAGCCCGGCCCGACTCAGTATTATATATTTTATAAAATATATAATATGTATTTYATATATTATATAAAATATAAAAATAATATAATATTTATTAAAATATATATTTATAATTTAATATATATATATATATATATTTTATTCTTTTCTTTATAATTTCAATCTATCTCTCTCTTTATTCAGCTGCTTCAACATTAATAATAATAATAATAATATAGGCTAAATNTAATAATAATAATAATATAGGCTAAATTTCGGGCCCGGGCCCAGGCTCGAGCTTCGGGCTTTTTATGAGGGCCGGGCTTGGGCCCAAATTGTAGGCCCGATGGTCGGGCCGGGCTTGGGCTCGGGCCTTAAAAAAATATGTTAATACACAGTAAAAGCCTGGCCCGAGCCCGGCCCGGCCCGGCCCATGAACAGGTCTACATGGAAATATCTCCATCCTTAACCATTAATGGAATGACTATTCAGAACACCCTAACAATTCCACATCCCACCTTAAGAATTGATGTTACTATATGGGTAGGTATTAGTATTTTAGGGTGGGGATATTTGTCATTCTAAATTGTGTAGGATTGTAGTGGAATTTAAAATTCTGCAATTGGTTGCATTGTATTTTTCCATGCATAAATATAGTATGTATTTGGAACCGTGGATGTTTATTGAATAAAACTTTTGTACTTGATTTATTTGGAAAACTGAGAAAACTAATGACGAACCTATTTATTGATACCTAAGCGCCATTAGGCACCACATCAGCAAAACGATGAATAAATGCCTACCCGTTGGGGAAAGCACTAAAATGAAGCTTCCCCAATGGTAGGCACACACATAAACTGAAGTCTACTTTTGCAAGTCTATGCATACGGACTCACATAATGGGGGAAATATTGAAGTGGCGCCTATTTGGCAGCGTTTATTTAATAAACGCCCACAGTTCCAAACACCCTCGTAGTGTTTTGTAGGTAGGTGTGGATGAATTCGACATCTGTTATGACAAGTCGGTAGTAGTGTTTTGTAGGTAGGCATGGATGAATTCAGCTTCTGTCAGGGCAAGTCGGTGCACGTACCGTTCGAGCAACCCCTTGTAACCTTGCATTGGGAATATCTCCCATGAAATAAATCACATAAGTACGAAGATATTCCCAACTAGACCTGTTCATGGGCCGGGTAGCTCGACGACCTGGCCCAACCAGGCCCGTTATAAGTCAGGCTTGGTCATAATTTTAGGCCCCTGTGCTCAGGCTCAAGCCTAAAGCATCGGGCTAAGCTCAACATGATACTATATATTAAATAAAAAATATATATTTTTTATTTAATAAAATATATATACAATATTTTTTCTTTGTTCTTCTCTTTTTTTCAAGTAATAGTGAGATGTTTATTATTTTTGAGTTTTGAAGATTTTTAATATAAATAAAACACTTTTTATTGCATAAAAAAGGAAAAAATTATATTTTCAAATATTTGGTCGGGCTCAGGCTTGGGCCCAAGCTTCGGGATTTATATGAGGGTCGGGCTCGAGCTCGAGCTTGGGCCTAAATGTATTCTATTGATACATAGACAAAGCCTGGCCCGGCCCAGCCCATGAACAAGTCTATCCCAACATAAGGCTATAAGGGCCATTGGAATGGGCTTTGCCCTAACTGAAGCCAAACTCGGCATGGAAAGAGTACTTGTGGGTAGGAGATACGGGGAGTCCATTGTTGTATATATTCAAATAGAATCTGTTTGTTAAGTTATTTTATTATTTATAATAACAATTTATTTATGAATTAAATGTCCGACATTGTTGTATATGGTAGGGGTGTTCATGGGTTAGGTTAGGTCAGTTTGAGTCATTTTCTTCAATCAACCTGACCTAGTCATTTTATTTTACTCATATTCTTTTTTCAACTTTATGTGGGGACCAGGGAAAATTTATTTTCCTAGGTATCACTTACCCAAGAAAGTGATATCCATCTCCTAAGTAGGTAAATAACTTTTCCACATAAGGGAAAGTTGCCAACACTTGAATGGAACAAAAATGCCCCTTTTAATAATGGATTTGTATGGCTAAAATGGTCATTGTCTTATTTACCTAAGAAATAAAAGAACATGCATAAATGCACTTACTTAGGTAAGTGTTTCCGAGGAAAAACTTACACATGTAATTGCATTTACCTATATAAATAACTTACCCAAAAGCGAACGAGACCTTATTATTACTGAGTATTGGATTACAACGTTCAAAATATATGCACCAATACGCCAAAAGGGTTAACGATACTTTGAACCTTGCACTTTTCTGTTTTTTTTTTTTTTTTTAATTTGAGTTTAGGCTTATTTCATATATTTTAATTATTAAAAATAAAAGTTTCTTAAAAATGCCTTTAAATTTTGAACCTTGTTGGCTTATTGCTTAAAACCAAAAAGAAAACGGGGGAAAAGAATCGTCTTATCCCCAAAGTAGGATTTACAAAATCTATGATGCATGAATTGCATGACCAAAAAAAATTTGTATGTAAAATAAAAATTGTGAACCAATAAAAATAAATCGACCATGTAACATTTTTAATGTGATAAATTAAAATCTTGATTTATTATGCATCAAATATTAGTTAACGTAGTTATTAATAACATTATCTGTAATCATGGGTCGGTTTGTGGGCATTCAGAGTAATTAATTTAGAAAATATAATTAGCAAAACTACTCAAACATCATTTATACATATGTGAAACTAGATAATCATATCACATCCCTTATCACATGTGCTTTTGCATCAAACATCTCATTCCATCATATATCTCTTAAATGGGCCAACAAATTGCCGTCGATGTTACCTCCCCAATTGTTTCCATATAGTAGGGATATGAATAAATAAATTTAAAAAAAAAAAAATCTCTCGATGCCAAATACATGTATTATATATTATAATAGAAAAATGGGGAAAATGCCCTACAAAAAATGTCTTAATTAGGCACTCAATAATCTCTCCAAGTAGAGTTTTTTTTTTTTTTTTGGTGAAATGCAAGTAGAGATTTGAGACATCTGAAATTGGTCACTCAAAATGCTCTTGACCAGAGAGTACTCAACGCTTCATCAAAATCTTTGATGGTATTCATCCATATAACCATACAAATCAACAACCCTACAAGATTAATTGCCAAAGGATGTAAATTAATCTTCCAGTCTTTTGATTAAAGGATAAATAATTGAAGAAATAAGGTGCAAATTAAAATAAATACCTGTCAATGCGTCCATTAACGACAACATTGATGGTTCACCACCTGATTTGGAAACTGCAAAGCAGAGAGTGTGCTTGAATATGGGTAACAGGAGAAAGAAACTCGATGCTAGCTCATCTATCTAATGAATGGATGCAAATGCAATCCAAGTGTTTGTGGAAATGAAACCTGAATCGCAATTCGTGGTGGAATTCCAATCCCCACATAAGCACAGATCTCCACCCGCAACGCTATCGTGGCCGCATGTACCGCCCGTTGCCTCACAGGCTCGACAGAATGCGGAGTCGCCCGGCACCGAATACATCACACGTATCCCATACGACCAGTCGCTAGGCCCCGCCAGTCGCAATGGGGCGAGGCTGTAGGCACTGCTGTATCCCTGGCACTGGAGCTTGGTAAGATTGATAGCACGAATGGCCTGGAACGACACAGAGCAGCACTCCGGCGGGCTCATGCTATAGATCAAGCCCACATGTTTGGGACCTGGGTCCCATGCTGGGCAGCCATAGTACTCCTCACACCCCATTCCAGACACATTACGACAAGGCAAGTGCTTCCCTGGGAAGCCCTGGAAAAGAGGGGATTCTGGGGTGCAGCCTATCAGCATGAACACGTTGTCTGGTGCAGGATTCAGGTAAGGAGCTCGCCATGACTCCAGCACAAACCCATTGCCCTTGCCTCCTCGCACAATCGACTCGCATGTAGACATGCCCGGATCGTGGAGTGTTAATGACTTGTAGGCGTAGTCTACCTCCAGCACACGATACGACCCGGAGTTAATGTGAAACATGAGAACGTCGTTTACGCAGAAGAGTAGGTCCCTGAAACCGAAGTGGCCACATCCAGATTGGGTGGCGAATGGATAGTCCACCGTTATGTTTCCACAATAGGATCGGCATGTCTTCACATGTCCCTCCCCACAAACCAGTGCAAGTAGTAGACTCTGTAGAATGATGGCGAGAGCACCAAGAACATGAGTAAAACAAGTCATAATTTAAGTTTAAGTTGAAGCGAAGGGGAAGTGAAGAAAAGATTGCGGGGTTGAAGATGGACTAAATGAGAGAGAGAGTCAGTGGACTGGATGCAGAGGTAGGTACTAGGTAGTGTATGTGGTTTCTTTATTCATTATTCCTTGCTTGCTTGTGATGGTTAAGAAGTAGGGATTTTTGCTTTTGGTTTTGGGGCTTTATTCACATGCTATGTTCAGGAATCTGGTTCGTTCCCGTTATTTTTTTAGGTTTGCTTCTTTTATTATACATTACATTGTGTATGTATTTATTTTTTTTCTATTATTCTCTTTTTCTTTTCAGGTTGGGTGCTTTAGTTGCTTTTGACATTGATTGAACTCAATTTTAGTATAATTGGAATTGATTGCTTTACATTCAAGCAATCAACCGTCGAGTTGGAGGCTTTCAAGTTTCAACGGAGTCTCCCTGTCAAAGCATAAATATGAAATGCATAATGCAACTATCACCACCACTGTTCTTAGAATTATAGAGCTGCCAACGGATTGGATTCTATCGATCCATCTGATAAGAGTCTGGAAATTATTAAGATCGAGGGAAGCATTCAAATCTAGCTCTTATCGAATCGAATTATTGGATCTGACCCGATTTATTAGCAGCACTATTCTCGTTTGGCCCAACTTCCATGCACCAGCTGCAAGCAATGTGACTTGGTGTATTCAATTCCTATTAATTAAATCGCGCACTCATCTGTGTGCTAATGAAATTTGGAACACCTATTGGATATCCTGTATCGAGTTCCTTGATCACAATTCACTCATTTTAATTCTTGTGGGTCTGACCCACAGTACACTTTTTTAGTGCGCATTTGGGGTTGGGGGCTTTCAGGCAATAGCTTTTGGTTTTTAATGTGGCCACCAACTGCAATTTATGTTTAGTTCAAAATCATGAAAAGCCCAACTACAGAGTCCTTCGTAGATGAAGCTTCTTTTAGCTTCTTCAAAACAGATAGGAGAAAACAATTCAACCAAGCCTTTAATCCTCCCAAACGGGCCTTTAGTTCATTTTACATGCAAAATGTTCAGATGTTGAAATATTTGTTTTACTGCTTCCAATGTGTTTATACTTAATTTGTAGCCATTAAGCTTTAGATTTACTGTTAATGATAATAATACATTTTTTGCGGATTCCCCTACGGCCATGCCCATGAGAAAAAACATGTACTGATTCCTCCAACGTGTTTCGAACATTTTTAGGGATTCCCCTACGGCCAATCCCCTTGACTCCTTTTCTTCCCCAAAGTGTCAGCCCTCAATTTGTAATTTATGATGTAATCAGAGGATACTTAGACATGGGAAACAATGCTTACGACGTTGGTCCAGTGTTGATGTGAAATCAAATCCCGCAACCTAAAGGAGAAAGGGATCAGGGGAAAGTTATACCTAATACCCAAAWACAAGGACCTACGACGTTAACATGATATATCCAACGACATTAACATGATATATAGTTTTTTACCTCATGACCAAGGTCCAAAATATAGACACATATCAGTCGATACATATCATTCCAAGACCCCTCCGATACACCCCTATAGTGGGTGTATTGGTGGTCTGACTGATTCAGGGGGTGGCAGAACCATAAACCAGCTCCCTGAACCGGTTTCAGAAAAAAAATTTAAAAAAAAATAAAAAATAAAACAACACTAATTCACTCGATACGCCCCTACCGACATATCAGGTATATCAATATTTTGAACCTTGCTCATGACTGACCTAGTATTACGAATACAATGGCAAACAGTTCCCACTGTCTTTTGGATGCAGAGAATTCCACATTTATGTCGACCTCACCATGCATTACATTGTATGTTTTTGGTATAATTTCCAATTTAATAAACATTTATATTTTATTTATCTTCAAAACCAAGAAAAATACTTGATAAACAGTTTATTGACAACTAAACAAYTTTAGGGACCCCATCAGTGGAATAGTGAATAAACGAAGGTTCCTCCATTTAGTAATGACATAACACCCTTTATCAAATAAGGCTGTGTTAGGTTTGAAGGAAAAAGTAGGGAAAGGAAAAGAAATGCAGGGAAATCATACAAAACACCGCCATCATCTCTTCACTCGAAAGCACCGACTTGTCCCAAATAGAAACTTGAAAAAGACCCTCAACTTTACCCAGATACAGCTATAAAACCTCTTTCTTTTGATGAATTATAAAACCTCATTTTAATTAAACCAATCTCCAACCAAGACGGTTTACCTACGGGCTACAGAAAATAACAGAGATTAGATTAGCTGAGGCTATAGCTGTTATGGAATCCACACCAGTCACAAGGGCCCACAACCATTCGACCTCAGTGTGGGCCCATGTATATTATCAATATCAGTTAAAGCGTTCAGCCAATCCTAATTCATTGTGGAGGATGACCACGCAAAATTGAGGCTCAGTTCGAGAGTGTACAATTCATAAAATTAGACCCCGAATGGAAACTGCACATGCAGGTGGAGGTTGATGTGGAGCCAGTTAGGCATCCATTCCTTGGAGTGCACCCTTGGATGAGAAAAGTTGAAAAAAAAAAAAAGTAGTTCATACAAAAAAAACGAAAAAAAAAAAAGTTCAACTTGATAAAAAGAAAGGATCTTAACTGAAATAACTTCATAAAATGTAAAATTTTCTACCCATGAACATAAAGCCCTGGGTTCCTTGTTTTAACTTCAAATACTCATCTAGCTACAAAATAGGAAATAGAAACTAACAAGACATCATGGACGGTTACATTAGGGCCAAAACCAAAAAGCAAACAAAAATGCAATTACCCAAACAGCACTATTACCTACCATCGCTTCAATGTCCATATTAGACCTTGATGGCATACTTCCTCATTGGAAAATACATCTCCCTCTTTTTCTCCCTCTCGGTCTTCAATGAAGCCTGCAAAAGCAGTTCACTATCAACATCAGAACCTAATGCAAACTATAGTTACAAAACAATTGTAATGCATTCTATGTGCACCTAAAGTATAACAAAATTGTGTCCTCTATGTCCTTGAATAGCATGTAATTATCAACCTTTTTTTCTGAAAGCACCAACCATTTTATTATCCACATCAATACGAAACATAAATGTGCTCAAAGCTCTTTAACTCGTTATAATGCATTGGTATCGGTTTTCCATTATCAATTTGCTACTTCACATCTTTCCCATCTTTCACCTCATCTCACACTTCCTATCATTGTTGCACCAATACACACGATAACTGAAAGTGTTTTCCTTCTCATTAGCTAGTATTCATCAAACAAGGGAAAAACACCATGAAATGCTATCCACCATAAAAGATGTTTCCATGTGCATGGATAAATATGTGCACATGAAATGCTATCCACCATAAAAGATGTATCTTTGTAAAAACATGCATAAATGTGTGTACATGTGTACATGTATATGCTTRGGTTAATTGCATGCATATTATAATTATCCCCTAGAGTTTACACAATCTTGGAAATATGGACATGAATAAGCAATAAAAACACAAATTGTTAGATACACAAGAGTATGGACATGAATAATATTGTAAATATGAAGATGAATAAGCAACAAAAACACAAATTGTTAGATACACCTAGAATAGGTTTATTATATTGGCCTAGAAGGTTTGAGTTAGGGTGGGGATTGGTCAATCCTTGGGCTACCAAGAGCATTAACCCAGGTCTAACTAAATTGAGAATAAAACCCAAGTTTCAAGACTCATGTCCATTCCAGAACCAAAAATCCAAGCACAACCTGTGCAATAGATTGGGTTGGGTTAGGCCATGTCGATCACAAATTAAGCCCACCCAAGTTCCAACCTGGTTTGAGCTTTGAACCTTTGAAAAATAGCCATGCTATTGCCTGAAGGAACTTCCTGTATTCAGATCAACTTTTCCAAAAATCGGGAAAAAATGCAAGTACTCCACAGCTTGAATGTTTCCATCTTTTTCTTCTGATCAACATGTTAATTCTACATGAAGTTTCCCTCCATTCCAGCTTCTGTGGTTCTGCCATCACGCATCCAATTGACTACTCCATAGACATCCAACGAATCCAGATTTCGTCCTTGCAAAATCGGTATTCACACAATCCTCGCAAAACTTGCAGCCATGCATTCGGAACATCTTCTCATGAATGAAAACATACAAGTATGGAGGTGTTCCCAATGCCAAATGCTGTGAGGACAGTTTGAGGAACAATTTTGCGAGGACAAAATCCAATCTCAGATCCAACACCTTTCTATACGCAACAGCAATAACCATAACCACTAAAACTGTACCAAAGTCAACTTTAAAACAACAAAAATCCTAAAACTAGCACCACAGGTAAGCACCTATCTCTCAATGCAAAAACCATCATCTAGTCTAAAACATAGTTGAAATTTCAGTTTTGCAGTTTGGCTAGGGGTTGGAAAAGAAAACAAGTTTGTCAATGTGATAARGYACACCATTGTTAAAATGTAAAATCTTCTAATATATAAGCAATGAGATCTCTTTACTAATGTAAAGAGAAATAAACAAGACGAAAAAGAAAAATTAAATTAGGGAATATATATAACTGATCATTTTTAACTTCGTTTTGAAGTGTACAAATTGCAATGGCATCCAAGTTTTAAATATTGGTTATCTGATTTTCTTGAGAAGAGCATCCTAAAAAAGGAAGTGACATCCATATAAGATTCTATTAAAAAGGTGAATCTTGAGAAAGGGAAAGCATCCCATAAAAGGAAAGCATTTTACACTACACCCTAAAAAAGGATTGCCTTGTTAGAAATATATGCTTACAAACACAAGACATAGTTGCCCCCATGGAGAACGCTTGCTGTATGATAAATAACAAACAACAGCTAAAAGAAGCATTACATTTTTTTGTGTGACTTCCAACATTCTTCCATTAGTTTTGCGATCTTATTAAATACTTCATCTTACCCTATGCACCTTCGTGTAAGTGGCTAAGTGTTGTCAATTATTTCAAAATATTAACCACCCTAATCAGTCATGGTTCAGGTCTCAACCCCATCTAGGACTCTATATTAGCAAGTTAAAAGCTACTTGGACATTTAGCCTCATCTACTTGCAAAATACACCACAGCAAAAACCTTGACATTGTAAACTTGCAACTTCAATCACACAATCCCTCCCTATAAAATGCCTTAAGTCTACCCTGTGCAGTTGCCCTGCCATCATGCAATTATGTGCAAATTATCTACAAACATGTGTAATCTTCTGGGGCCTATCATTTAGTTTAGAGAAGAATGCAGACATCGTCCAATACATACAGTTCCCGTGCTGTCAACAGAGACCTTAGGAGAAGATAAACACAAGAGTGTGAAGCAACCAAGTACCTGATGCTTTGTGAGACGGCGCCTGATTGCCCGAGTCTTCTTTGGCCGGAGATCCAATGGCACAAACTTCTTCTTCTTGTATGCGTCCCTTAATGCGGATTTCTGCTTCTGGGAAATAACGGTAAGCACACGAGCAATGGACAACCTAACAACCTTACTGCAGCATCATGGAAACATATACAATATTAAAAAATAAACATTTTGAAAGATGGAATGTATCACCTAAGAAGTTCTACAACAATAATGCAAAAGGAAAGGATGATTCAAATGGGAAAAAAACTGAGGGAGAAAACACTCACATTTTAGAAAGCTTGTTAGGTGCACCTCCAGTGACCTTAGCCACTCGGAGCAATGCAAGCTCAGCCTTGAGCTCATTGAGCTGGTTTAGAAGCTCAGTTTTCGACTTGGTTCGGAGCTCGTGAACCTTAATCCTCGCTGAAAAAAGAGAAATTATAAACAATATTGAGTATGAAAATAAACAACGACAAATAATCAGTAAAAGGCAACATACTTTTTCAGCTTATTTAAACGATAAAGCATGAAGATTGCACAAGGAATCACATAAGAACAATTCAAATACAAAATCCGAAGCAAAAAATGAAACCACCGGAACAAAAAGTTACAATATCCTTAACAAAAATATGAAAAAAAATAAAAACTCCGAAATCGCAAGTAATCTGAGTTAAACGCTAAAATCATAGAATGAAGAATGGGAGAGGTTTAAAAATCTTTGGACACAGTAAATCTTCTAGATCTCCATAAGTCGCAGAGATACAGAGCTAAACAATGGAAGCATAAGGTACTCCAAATTAAAAAATACGGTTGTGGTAAGAGTACAAGGTGAAAGAACCCTAGAAACAAAGTGATTGCAGCGAATTGGAACTTACCCATTTGATGCAATCTGTAATGGCGAAGAAAGCCTCCCCCGCTCTGCTCTTTCGGCAAAATGAAACAGCTCGATTTCAGAGATCTATTTATAGTCTGGAAGATTGTTAGGGTTCATAGTTCTAAATGACGAAATTACCCACTATATAAGATATTATATGCTTCTTAACGTCTGCGAATAGGATTTATTGGGCATTTTGAAAGAAAGTCAGATGATACTCTGGTAATTTTGAAACTGGTAATGAAATTTTTAGGGTTATTATCTAAAACCTCCTTTACTTTTCCCCTTTTCTCTTCTAATTTGCCCCGACTTCTCAAAACCTCGAGAGATGTTACCATCCGTTAGGGGTGCAAATGGATCCGATCCTATTTGGTCAAATTCGGATCAATCCGTTCGRATTTTCCAGTTTGAATTCCCTTTTTGATCCGATCTAATCTGATATATTATATATTGTTATTTATAAATATATAATATATATATTATTTATTTATTTATTTATAAATATATTTTTTATATCATAATTTTATAACTTTATTATATTATTTATTTTTTTATAAAAATGTATATATATGATGAAAATAATTAAAAATACTTGTATTTTTTGTTTTTACTTTATTTAAATTAGTAAATTTATTTTTCTTATAATAATTTATTAATTCTTAAAGAAAACAAGTCAGGTGGGGATCAAATATGAAGATCCGATTTATCCATAGGATTCGAATTCAAATCGAGTCTTATCAGATCTGATAAACATTGTGGGATTGTATTCAAATATACCTTATTTTGAATCTAATTCAATCTATTTGCATCCCTATCATCCGTGATCCATGAGATAACGAAGATAATTATTTTTAATGACTAAACTAACTCTGCTTCTCTGGTAAATAATTGTTTAAAAAAATAAAATAGGTGAAATTTTTTTTTTATCATCCTCCAAACCAAAAAGGTTCGAAGCCTATTTCAATAAACAGATGGCCCCCAAATCTTGAGGGTTAATATATAATAAATTTCATAATAGTATAAAAAAGTTAAATCATTCATGCTCTCATTACACTTGTCCTCTTCACCTCCTTTAGTTGTGGAAATTCTGTATATTGTTTTAGGTTTTCTTCTTTTTTTGTTAAATACTATCTGTTGTTTTAGTTGGATCTTCTTAGGGGGTGTTTTACCATGTGAATTGTTTTTCTTGTTCTAGGTTTTAAAAACAAATTAAAATGATCTTGTTTGAAAACAAATTATTTCTTAAAACAAAAATATAAGAAATATGCTTTTGGTTGTGTATATGTTTTTTGTTTTCAAAATTAAAACCAAAAACATGTTCTCAAGTTTGGTTTCAAAAACATATTTTTATCTAATTATTCAACATCAAGTTCTACAAATCATATAATTTCTATATTAGAATATTTGTTTTACTTTTAAAAACCAATATTTTGTTAATTCCAAAAACATGTATTATTTTTCAAAACAAAATCAACTTGTTTTTTTTTCCACTTTGAAAACAAAAACAGAGTTAACATGTTTTTGTTTTTTTTTTAAACATCCATGTCGTGGAACACCCCCTTAATCTTTCTTTGTTGATCGATATTGTCTTCTTGCCAATTGGTATCAAACAAACGAAAAAGGGGAGGAGAAAGGCTTGATGACAATGTAAGACCTACGCTAGCTATTGAAAATGAACCTCTAGTCAAGGTTTAAATTATACATATAAAAGAAAATAAAGGTTTAAAGTATCAATACATATCATATTAGTATGGAGGGTCGGGCATTTTAATAATTTCAAATTTTAATACCTATCCTAACATACCCATATGTTAAATATCAAAAAATATATATATATCACTGAATGAAAGTGTTGTTTAATACCGTGGCCATTTATTTTAATAAATGTTTTAAACTTTTTTATCTTAAAAAACAAAAAAAGTGGGTGATAAACATTTATTTAGTGTTGTTTGACAAGTGGGCGCCATTACACAGTATTAGGCTGGGTATTGGGGGAAACATAAAAATGTATTTCTCCCAATAGTTGACTCTAAAAAAACTTTTATTTAATTAATGGTTTTAACAATTGATGGTATTTTCCCCAATGCGTACGTGATAATGATCTAACCAAGGTTCAAAGTATCAACCCGTATAGGCTGATACATATCGTGTCGGTGGCTTACCGATACGCCCCTACAAGGGTTGTATTGGGTCAGCCAGGGTAGTCAGGCCTTAAGTCGGCCCCTCTGAACCAATTTCGAAAAAAGTAAGTACAACATAAAAAAAAAAAATAAACACCGACACAAGCCGATACGCTGGTAGGGCATATCGGCTGTGTGAACCTTGAATCTAACACTGTTTTTCAAATAATCAAACACCATCTAAAACTCACCATACATAACTTTTGCATATTGCTAGGATTAATACTTTAAACATTGCTCTTAATTGATATATAACTTTGGGATGTTGTGTTGCCATTTTTGGCTGAATTTGGAAGAAGAACAAATACAAATAAAATCTTATATTTTATATTATTTTGTATGTATTTACACTGTACATATTTACATTTGTACTGCTTCCAAACTGAGCCTAATTCTGTTAACAAAATAAAGGCGGATAACAATTTACAAACAACAATGAGCAAAAGTGAAAACTGTGCCAATAATGTAATATTATCGGTGGCAATTCCACTTTTGCACTAGCCTTTCCACCAACTCCCAACAAAATGTCAATCCAATTCGCAAGCATGGTTTTAAGTAACCATACTATCCACTTATAAAAAAAAAAACTAATCATCCAATTTTTACACATGATCATGCCCAAAAAACGTAATCATACTATGAAACATCCAATTTTTACACATGACCATGCCCAGAACTCCACGGTCCAATCTGACATGATGATGTGGATTCAGATTTGATTTAATCCAATCAGATTATATTTTAATATATATATATATATATATATATTTTATATTATTATATTTAAAATTATAAAAAATATATTTCATATATTATCTTATATATATATAATAAATTCAATATGCTACATTACATTAATTAATATATATAAAAATTGAAAATTAACTTTGCCTTATGCCACCATAGAGGTCGTAATTAATTTTTTCTCGACATAATACAACACTTGTTCAACAACTATCTAATAACTCTTCACTAAATGGTGGGAGCCAATAGCAGGACTTGAAACCGCATCTATTCTTAAACTACCCAATTTACGTACCAACAAAACCACCAATCAGTTAGTCAAGAGTCCAATTAAAAGAATAAAGTAGTAAATCCCCTCTCTTTTATCATTTCCTCATAAAGATATATGCGAAAAAAAAATAGAAAATGAATTTGGTAATTGAATTCATAACTACGGGATTGCCTCCGGACCTTTAAAGGGGAGAAAAAGGAGGAAAAAAAAAACACGGAATACCTAGAAATTACAACGAACCCAAAAAAAAGAAAAAATACATCGTAGACAACTAGCTTCAAAATTTTCTTGCTAATTTCAAGATTACATCCGCAAACCAGACAATTCTTCAGGCTTCAAGCTGCCTTAAAGATCCCCTTCTCTCCTTGGGGTCCTCTAGTCCCCCTCATCCTTCTCCCTCTCTGCTATTTCAAGTAGGCCAATGGGATGTGGAGGATATTTCTGTTAACTGAAATCCCACCAGGAATTCATGATGCTTCCTCATCTGCAGTTTAATGAAGTTTTAAGCCAAAGATATTGCATACAGGAAAATTTATGAGAATTAGAAATGACGAGATGAATGGCAAATAATTCAAAGTTACCATGGGAATGCTTCAATACTGTGTCATTGCGTGCCTTCTTTGCCAGCTTTTTAGCTGTCTTAGCTGCAGCCATGTTGAAAATAGCTAATGATGAGATGCAAACAGGTAACCCGAAATGTTCAAGGGATTTGATCACAAACCAACCATTCAAATATTCCATATTACCACCAGGTTGCAATTAATAGAACAGATTGCCCATGTGACACGTTGCCACGAGTATGGTACAATATAGACGAATGATTGAATGAAGCTACAAGTTATAAGAACTTACCCTTAAATTTTCTTTTTTTATTAGCTCTCCTCCTCTTTCTCTCCGCTTGTGTTAGTTCTGTTTCTTCCTTAATATCACCATTGCCAGCAAACACCTCCTCGGGGGCCAGCATAGCTGCATCTGACACTGCAACAGGTGCAATCTGCTCGGAGAAGACAAAAATAATACATTGGATTATGATTAAAAATAGGGCCAAAAATATTTAATTCCTGACTTGTAACATATTGGGCAAAAATATCCTGAATTTTCCAAATAAAAGAGGAGAAATGCCTTTTTACCTCTTCCATTGCCAGGGCAGGGACATTTGCTTGTACAGACATGTCCTCAATGACCTGTCCAAAGTCAGCAAGGTAGATAAATATCAAGAAATTCCTTCGAAAAAACAGGAGCTAATGTTACCAAAAATACTTAAATTAGAACATACAGGCTTTGGTGTGAAGTGGAAATGAGACAGGGCATCCAACTTCAAGCAGAGTTTCTTGAATAGAAGACTTGCCTGATCAAAGAGAAACATCATTAGGTATAGAAATTCAATCCCCTCAGGAAAGGGAGATCCAAAAAATACAAATGTAGAATATATGTACATAAACGTTCAAAATGAACATCAGAAAGAATGCAAGTTAAGCCATCCACTAAGGAACCGTTAAATAACAGTTCAAGTGGCCGAAGTTAAAAGCTTATTATTGTTTTCATTAAAAAAAAAAAAAACAGAAAAGTTTATTGCTTTGTCTTTTAGTGAACAAGTTTTTTAGGAGGTTGTGTTCCTGAATGGCTGAAACTGGATAAATTACTATAACGTTCAACATTTCATTCTTTAATTATTTTGTTTGCTAAAATGCACAAGTCATTCAGTTCAGCAACTTCAGCTCTTATCAAACAGTCCCTAAGACATTTTATACTAGGAAATAGGAATCAACCTCAAGATGGTACAAGACCCCAAAAGCAGTTCGATCTCACTAGAGCATGAAAGAAAGCCTCCAGGGCCCTCTTTCCCTGTGCTTTTGAATACTATAACAAGACAATAAGAAATATTGCTGCTTAAATTTGAAGGAAGCCATTGGGCATGACTCCCCCAAATCATGTTAAGCAGGCTTCTGTTTAGGCACTATGCAAAAGGTGGCTTGTTATTGATCAACAAAGCACCCGTGTCTGACTAGAGCCAAAATAAAAGGGTTAACTTTGCAAGCAATAAGGTTTGAGCCTAGGATCTCTTATTAGACAAGGAAACACAAATCCATTAAACCCAGTGCAAGTTGTTAATGGCTCTCTTCCTTAAGAATGCTTAATTTATATCATTAACAAAAAAACATTTCTTCCCAAGGCAGACATGAACATAAAAGTGGCTCCACTCTTTCAGCTGGACCTTTGCGAATATGGAAACAATCTTTGTACAGTGGCAAGGTCCAAATCTAGGCTGAATTCAAATGAGCTTTGACAGCTCAGTTAGAAGTGACACTGACAGATGATCAATTAGGGTTGCCTTCTGCAAGGCTATGGCCTAGGGGTGGCTTTATTGCCATTAGCATATAATCACTGAATCAAATAGAAGCATGGGTCATAAGTTGGCCTCAAATGGGCCTTATTACCTTAACCCAGTTTCTATAGGGTAGAAGTCCAAATGAAATTCTAAGAACGTGATTGATACACAAACACTTGCAGAGATCCAAGAATCTTTCAGAGATTATTTTAGAGAATTTGCTACAGATCCACATGATGTCAGTCTTGGCTTGATACCTTAATAATGTGGTCTTTCCCACCAAAATAGGTTTAAAAAAGACTAAAAATATCATTTTTACTTTCATAAGCTATTAAGTTTCAGTCATGATATACATGTAAAAGGTGAGTCATATAATGCATGGCTGATCTTAGAATGAAAATAGGTTCTAGTGTAAAATATGGAGTGAATACATGCATGAATTACCTAGTAATAAGGCAAGTCTTATATGAACTTTTTTGCAGCAGCATAAAGGGAGACCTCCTGTTTGTAAACTTACACATATATAAATAAGCTATAAAGTGTTGGTCATAGAAATTTGTATCACCTAAAAATCTGAGGCTCCTTGATGCTCATAAAACCAGAATGACTGGAAACTCCTTAAAAGAGGGAGGGGATTAGAAAGATAATATACGAGTCTTGTCAACCCCCACCCCCATCCACCCACCCAAAAATAATAATAATAAATAATAGTAATAGCAAAATAATACCGCCCTCCTCTTATTTCATTGTAACATCATGAAAAAGGAAAAGATGGATATAAAAATAAAAAAAGGACAGCCCAATGCACAAGGCTCCCACCAATGTGGGGTTGGGGGAGGGACAGATGTACACAGCCTTACCCCCACACATAGAACCCTACTTAGAAAGTTTTCTYCCAAATAGCACATTTTTTTTATAAATGAATTAGATTTTATTATCAAAGGATAAAAACTGATATGAGCATCCCAAGGGGGGCACAAGATGCAGCCACACCCTTATACAAATAAAGCTGAAAACTGAAAATTACACACAGCCCAAAAAAGAGAATCCCTAGCAGCCCTTTGTCTAGCTAACAAATCTGCCATTGCATTAGCTGACTTGTTCACCCATTGTATCCTAATTGTCATATGCAATGCCAACCACTTGATTTTCTTTAGCAGATCCCTACACTTGCAAGTAATAGAACCCGGATCCTGCAACCACCTCACAACCACCTGAGAATCACCCCTCTATGACTAAGTTGTTCATCCCAAGTTGATTTRTGATCTGAATGCCTTGTACAGCAGCAAGCTAATGGAATCTCTTATACCCACAGGCCCTGAAAACAAAGATAAGACAGAGCCATCCTCATTTCTCAAGGTTCCACCTACTCCTGACAAGCCAGGATTACCCTGACTGCTCTCATCAAAATCCAGTTTTATAAACCCTTCCAAAGGAGGAATCCAAGCTGTAATGGACCTGCTTCTTCCTGTACAACTATTTGCCACTTCCAACCAGTTCCTCCAGAGGTCATCAAAGGTAGAAAAACTGAAAGGAGTTCAGGGTTTTTAACCAATGTATTGCCCTTGTTAGGATGCACTCCTTCAGTTCCAAAAAATTTCTTTCAAATAGCACACGTTAATGGATGAAATAGCTTATCTCAGCATGAATGCATGAATTAATAATTTTATACTCAACCACTAAATAGAAATTACTAAAGACATGCTATAGAAGGAAATATATAACACCATCATTTGCTTGGGGCCATTAAGGAAAATGAGTTTTTCAATGGTCTCTCTTAAGGAATATTATACCATTACTTATAGCTCATATTAGAGGTTATTGTAATTTGTAAGCCCTGAGCTATGAACTTGTTGCCCTCCTTCACCAGAGATTGGCTAAGATAGTTTCCTTAGCTAGAGTTAAAGAAGGTGTATTTTGGGTGATCTCACATTTTGGGGAAGGTTCATGATTACAAGATTATTAATTGCAAAAAGGAGACGGAACAGAAGGAGAACAAAAGAACTAAAGCAAACATGGAAGCCAAATAATAAGCATTCATACCTCTTTCTTCTGTTCATCTGAGGTAGACAGTGGGGCAGAAGCTAGCTCAGTCTTTTGTACATACTCCTCCTGCAAGAAGAAATAAACCAATTTTTCTCTCATGATTACCAAAAGGAGAAACGAAAACAAAAGGCTATCACAATGTGACACCATGCAATTAATAGATCAAAACTACACAGCAAAAGGCAACAATAGAAACAAATAACGATCTAATTAAAATGTACTGACCTCATAAATTTCAGCTAGACCCTTCTTGCTCTTATTGTCATCCTGTAGATGGATATTTATGAGTTAACAAAAGATAAAACTGCCAATTGTCTTCATAGCTAAGAACTTTAGAAATCCATACTCCAAGAACCACTATCTCACAGAAAAAGAACATACCAGCTCTTTATGTTCTTTTGGTGCTTTTGATGGCAAACTAGGTGCTCTTTGAACATCATCAAAATGCCCCTGAAATATTACAATATTTTCAAAGACCAAGAAGAAGAAGAAAAGGAACCAGCTTAAAAAGTTAGAAGTGTAATCAGCAATCTGAACCATATTCACAAGCATGACAGTAAAAACCACATATTTAAATAAAGAGGATGGTGCAAGAAATGAGTGAAAATAGCACCTATTTTTGTTGATAAGTGGTAAAAATTTATAAAGACAAAGAGGTAAGAACCAAGAATACAAGGAAGCAGCAAAGGAGAAAGAAGACAACCAAATCAACCAGAATAAAAAGATAACAAAGAGAAATCCTGGCATATCTAAAGTCATGATGATCAAGTGAAAAGGACCACTTAATCAAAATGGCATAACAAAGAGTACCAGGGGAATCAACTAACAAATTAACCAGTGAGATTAGAAACCTTGCAGTTTGATAATGTGCATGACTTGTTAGAATATTGAGAAATTACTCATCTAGTTTGTTGTTTGCATAATCATCCAAATGGACCTGATTTACAGAGTATAAATTTTAAGTTTAAATTAGATGATGACTCCTATTATGATGGTGCAATAATCTGACTGGGGGACTTCAAACAGCAAACTGATATATTATAGAAGATATACTTCACCTCCATCAAGATATTTGAGGGGATGGTTGCATGTCTTGGAGGTGGAGAAAATATTATTTATCCACAGGTATGCACTTAACTTGATATCTATTGGGAGATACAACTTACCTCAAGAATCCTTTTTTTAATTAAATCTTCAAGGGATGCAGTGACCTCCTCTGTGATCACTGGCACAGGTCTTACATTATGCTCAAAATCTAGATCAACTTCTAGAGCACTGTTCTTTGGTCTTTTAGCAGCAGTTACCTGTTACAAATACCAGATGAAATGAGGACAAGTCCAGCTAAATGATTTAAAGCCAAAATCATATCACATGCAACCCCAAATGATTTCATAAGCTAGCTCAAAGATAACAGCAAGAACAAAGATTACCTCTCCCTGCATAGTCCATGTCTTGGGCTCCAAGTTCGCTTTCTCCATTTGCTGTATTTTGGAGTGAAGCTTCTCAAGCTCCTTTTCATGGGTAGAAAGATTTTCTTTCTTCTGTCAAATAAACCACATGGATATGGTTAGTGGTTTGAATATACCAACAATGAAACAATGGCAATGGCAAAGCCATAATGATAATGACAATTTCATAGTAGTAATAGCAATTAGCAACGAGTTTGGTGAAAGAAACTAATTGAATTGGATTCCATGTTAGGGAGAAAACAAGAAACTAATAAAAGATCTTATTTCAAGTATCATGATTGAAAATAAGCATACCTGATTCTCAAGAAACATTTCATCCTCTTGCCTATCATCCGAATCAGAATCTTCTGATCCATCAAGAGGTTCAGACCTTCTTTTTGGACCTTTTTTCTTTTTATGTGCGAAGAAGTCCTCATATCTGAAAATAAAAGATGCTTTAGACCAAGTAAATCCTATGAAGGTAAAATGTAAAAAACGCATCAAGAAAACATAGATAGAACTTGGAAGCAATGTACCAAGTCCAKATAATGGGAACTGATCTAATGAATAAAAGGGCACCTGAGGTGGAATATTTTGCATCAAGTATACTTAGAGATCAAAATAAACTTTATACCAAATCTCCCATCTGCACATTATTTTGTTCCCTCCTACTTAGTTTTCCAGCATGACAAGATTTTGCAAAATAAGATCTTTTATTATACAGTACAAGAAAAAGACACCATCCAGTTTGTCTATTCACCTGTTTTTCCTACCTTGTGACAATCACTATTGTTCTATTAATATCCAAATGATGAAAGAACCTGTTTCAAAACTCGAATGTAATCTTTCTACATGGCACAGGTTCCAAGTATTCCGGTTCCTATTGCTGTCTGGCACGTCAACTTCCAAGTTCCAAAGTTCAAAATTCATGGTGTGGGGAGTGCTAAATTCTGGTTCCTATGTCCTTTCTTGTAATACCATGTTTAGGAGTGCTAAATGCTGATATTTTCATCACTTCAGCTTGAAACTTCATTAGGATTTTACGTCAAGTGTTCTGCTAAGTGTCAAGCATGGGCAAGACCCCTTAGTTTTAAGGTACCCTGTAACAATGCTACAAGATTGGACATATTCTGTTTCATCAAGTCAATAATAGAGCAATCTAAAGAATGACAGTAGCAACAAAAACAAGCTTCAACACCCTACATATCGTCAGAATAGAGAAATAGATTAAGTGGCGACAGTAGAATAAGGGTAGTATAAGCACCTGGCATCTTCCATTTTATCTGTGCCTTCATCTTCAAAACCATCAACACCAAGACCCCCAAGCTGCAACAACAGAACGCCATGAGAGAAGCAACTCAACACGGATCCAGTAAAAAATAACATGGAAATGTTTTTTCACAAAAATGTCTCTATTCTTAATTCCCCGACAAAATGTCACCGCAATTCACCTAGACAACTACTAAATAGTTAAATGTATTACTAAAATAGACATAACTCAGAAAATTTCATACCCCCTAGCACTATCGAATAACAAGATAAGCTAGATAAACCTTCTGACCTCATCATCGTCTTCTTCCTCTTCCTCTTCATCACTGCCCTCTTCCTCTTCATCGCCATCATCAGCCTCACGATCATTGTGCTGTTTCTTCTTGGAAACTCCATACTCCCTCTCCTCGTCCTTTTCCATAAACTCCTCCAACTCCTTAATCTTCAGAAACTGATCCTCAATGCCGCCGCCACCATTACCGGCATCACCACCTTCCTCTTCCTCTTCATCCTCTTCTTCTTCTTCCTCTTCTTCTTCTTCCTCTTCATCTTCCTCATCCAAACTACCCAGCTCTTCATCTCCAATGTCTTCAAAATCCTCCGAACCATCGTTTCCTCCATTTTCTTCCTCGAAGCCCTCGGCTTCCTTATCAGAAACTTCCTCAGTTTTCTCCTTTGCAGCTTTCTTTACGAGCTCTTCACCAAGAAGCTTCAAAATTTCTTCGGGATTCTTCTCGAATCGCTTCAGCTCTCTTTTAAGATTCGATACCAGAGGCTGTGTTTGAAGGTCGATCTGCTGCCATATCTGCTCGGCGTCGAACCCTTCGACGAGGAGGCTATCGAAGGGCGATTTGGGGCAGAAAGGCTGCAGAGAAGAAAAGAGATACTGAGAAGCTATTCGAGCAGCTTGGGATAGTTCAGAAGACGGGGAGAGCCATTGAGGAGGCTCTGTCGATTTCAGTCGGTGCAAAGCCTCCAAGCCTCCTCCATCGATAGGGCGCGCCATCTTCCAACTCCCTCACTCTCTGCGTGAGTGCCTTCCTTCTCTTTTTCACTAGTAGCGGCGACCCGTGCGATATACGGGATTTGTTAAAAGAGTATATAATTATTTTATATTTTTAATTTTTTAAATAATTAATAATTATTTAAATTTTATATGTTATTTTTAATATTTTTTTACAATATAAAAAATAACAATAATTTATTTTAATAAGATTTTTTCATCAAACTGATGAAATTAATCAATCTGATCTATTTGACGTGAATTGGTTGGTTTTTTCATATTTTTAGTCGACTTTGGATCAATTTCACTTTGGTTATTTGTACATCGACCAAGATCAAACGATCCAATCATATTATATACATACATACATACATACATACATACATAATCTTTTTAATATGGAAAAATGGGAAATTTCTCATATTTCTTAGTCTAAAATATTTTATATCATAAATCTGATTTTAAAATCTATTTTTTAATAATGTCACTATAATTTTTAATTCAAATTTATTTTCTTAAGTTTAAATCTTTTTAACCAACTAAACAAACCAAACATCAACCCAAATCAATACAACTCGATTTGGTCGGTTTTCACTAATGGTTAGTTGGTTTCGGGATGACCAACTTCCTAACTTGACCAGGTCGATTTGGTTGGCCAAACAGCTTACAACTGAACCGAACCAACCTGTGAACACTTATAATTTCAACTAAATTAATAGTACAATCTCTAATAAAACAACAATTTAATCTCCAGTAATTATTGAAATTTTGTAGCGAAAATACACAATTGTTGAAAATATATTGATAATGAAAATACATTAAATAACCAATAAAATACAACAATTACAAATATACAATAAATACTAAAAAATATATTAAATTAGTCAATATATCGTGTAATCTCAAATAATAGTTTAACGTCTAATAAATATTGATCAATAAATATTAACAAAAATATAATAAGTACAATAAATTAAATTTAAAAAGTTAAATAATGATAGTTTAATCTCCAATAATTATTGAAAACTTTCTATTAAATAAAAAAACAAAAAAAAAGATTTATACATAATTGTTAAAGATATATTTATCACAAAAAATATAAATAACTATGGAAAATACAATAAATATTAATTTTAGTATATACATATATAATAAATATAGATTAAGATTTTAAAATAATTCTTAATAAATATTAATTTTTTGAAAGATATTTTCTAGAATTATTAATTGATATAAGTGAAATTAGTTATTTACAATATTATTTAGTTATTTAAATAATATCATTATTTAAATTTTAACATATTAATTAATTATTGAGTTTAATAATCCATGAAATTATAATTTGTAATATTATACATAATTTCATTATTATTTTTTAAAATATTAATTTATTATTAATTTCAATATTATGTTATAATTATTTTTCTATTTTTAAGAAAAATTTTAGATGGATTACAAAATTTTGTTACTTTAACTATTTAAAATCTAGTTATGTTAAATATTTTGTATTTTAAAATATTTAATTATTTAAATATTTGAATTTTATTTATTTTAAAGTTATTACATGATATTAAATATTTTGTTATATAATTATTTATCTATTTTTAATCTTTTGTTATTTAAGATATTTAGTTATTGAAATAATACTTTATTTTTTAATGTTAAATTTTTATTATTTGAATAACATTTAAATTGAATAATCGGGAAAAACCTTATTTATATCTTAGTACATAATTACGTGTTGAATTTTGTAATTGTATATATATAATTTCATTATAATATTTAAATGATTCATAAATTTTGTTATTCAAACTTTTTTTAGATAAATATAGGTAAAAGTGGGGGGTAGGATAAATATGAATTAGAGATAATTTAAGAGAAAGTGGAGGATAGTGGGTAAGGTAGTTTAGGATAAATTTTAGGAGAGGAGACTGGCGGGGCCCGTGCAGAGCACAGGATGGGGCAGGTTTAAGGTGAGGCACCCATTCCCTATCAGGGATGGGGAATTCGCAATTTTTTCACACCCCGAGGCAACCACATAAAAATAATATAATCTGTAGATATTTTGCAAATATAATTATGGGAATTTTGGGGTATTTTATAAATAGAACTGTGGGATCCTAGGATTATAAGAATATGAGGAAAACTTAGAGATATTTTAAAAATCAATGTTAAATCTATTGATATTTTACTAATTTACCTTCCTTGTCCCTGATTTGGAGCAAAAATATTTTCCTCGTCCCCACCATCTCTCTTCCTCAACCCTATTTAAAATTTGAGAAAACTTGCCCGTTCGGGGTGGGGCAGGGTAAGGCCCTAGTTTTATATAAAAAATTTCCACCCCTACAATTTTAATAATTTTTATATAATTAACTAAAGTAAATTAAATAACAATAAATTACAATATTTTATCATAATTTCCAAAAATTATTGAAATTGTTGTTTGATTAGCAAAATTGTATAGTATAATAGTTATTTACAATAACAATAGATTAATGTAAATTATTTACTAYTAATCAAAGTGATGTAATTATAGTAAATTAACGTAATTATGGTAAATTACATTAATTTTAATTAAAAGTAAATCATTTGTTGTTAATTAATGTAAAGCCAAGTATGATTGAAGTCAACCAAGTGGTTTAGACTCTAGACCGATGTGGATAGACTTAATTATTTTCCTAAATTATTTCATCATTATATGTTAAAATAATATAATGGATTGTTATTTAAATAAGTATGAAACAATTTCTGATAGGTTAATGTCCTAATTTAAGTTTCCTAAAAATTTTAATAATTATTTAGTTGAATAATTATTTAAAGATTTTTTCTTAGATTAATTTCCTATTTTTAATTATTATTTATTTTAAAAATTATGGATCATTAGTTAAAGATTTTCCTTGAATTATTTGATATCTGTTAACTATAATTATTGATTTTATAGAAATTAGTAAATTACGCCAATTAGTAATATCTTTTGTGAATAAATAGTTGTAATATTTAATGAAAATTTATTAAATTACAATGATTAATGTAAATTATGCTAAACATTAAAAATTTGAATATTTATTAATTAACCAATGGTTAGTTTTCACTAATGGTTGGTTAGTTTCGAATGACCAACTCCCTAACTCGACTAGATAAATTTGGCTAGCCAAACAATCTCCAATCGAATAGAATTGACTAGTGAACAATCCCAATTTCAGCTAAATTAATATTATAACGTCTAACAAATAACAATAGTTTAATCCCTAATAATTATTGAAAATTTATAGCGGAAATACACAATTGCTAAAAATATATTTATAATGAAAATACAATAAATTACTAATAAAAAGCTTTAATACCTCTAATTTATTTAATCTAGTTCCACCTTGCCCCACCCCGAACAAGGAAAGTTTTCTCAAATATTGAATAAGGATGGGGAAGAGACAGGGTTGGGATGGGGGAAATATTTTTGCTCCAAATCAGGGATGGGGTTTGCACATAATTCCCCAAACTTGATGATAGATTAATAAAATATTAGTAGATTTAATATTGACTTTTAACATATCTCTAATTTTTTCCTCATATTCTTATAATCCTAGAATCCTATAATTCCATTTATAAAATACCCCAAAATTGTCATAATCCAAGTCCTAAAATACCCCAAATTAATTTCCTAATCCTATTTGTAAAATATTCACAAATTAGATTATTTTTAGGCGGTTTCCTCAGGGTGGGGAAAATATGGGGAATGGGTGCCTCGCCTCCAACCCGCCCTACCATCGAGGAGGGGAAGGGGATGGGGTAGAGTGTCTTGACTACAAGGGCGAGGGATAGGGAGGGGTGCCACATCCCATGCATCTAATGGGGCCCGCTAGTTATAATTACTTTATTTTGTGCTTTTGATATTTTTTAACACAATCATGTTATTTAATCTATTTTTTTTTGTTTATGAATTAATATATAAGATATGATTTAGTTGTTTATAATATCATTTAATTATTTAAAATTTTAAAACAATAATTATTTATGAAATTTAATAATCTATGAAATTCTAATTTATACTGTTATTACATAATTTCGTTTTTTAATTTTGTAAAATATAAAATTATTATTAATTCAAAAGTTATGAAATCTATTATAATTATGGTTCTACTCTTAAGATTTTTTTTATTTATTACATAATTTTGTTATTTTAACTATTTAAAATTTGAAAATCTAGTTATGTTAAATATTTAAATAATATGTAAAATATTTAACCTTTTTTGTTATTCAAATTTTATTTCTTTAATGTTATTATGTAATTTTAATTATTTTGTTACATAATTATTTATCTATTTTTAATATTTATTATTTATGTTTTAAAATATTATGTAGTTATTAAATTGAATAATCCATAAAATTATAATTTATATTGTTATTTTCTAATTTCATTATGAATTTCATAAAAATATAAAATTATTAATAATATGGATATTATTAAACCTATTATAATTGTTTTTTGTATTTTCAATAAATATTTGAAAATTATTACATAATTTCATTATAATATTTAAATAATTTTTAAATGTTTTGATTTAGACTTTGTTTAGATAGATATAGATGAAAAGTGGGAGAGAGGATAAATAGGAATTAGGGAGAGATAGAGATAATTCAGTAGAATGTAGGGGCTAGTTAGTTTCCTAATAAAAAGGAGAAGAAGAAAAATGAGATAAGCCATGTTAGGTGGCAACTCTTAGTACTTCTAGAGGGAATCTTGCATCCCCTATAGAATTGTTCCGTTTGGGTAATAGAGCAAGGAGAGGAGTGCTGACATGGCAAGCTCTACTTTAGTATATATAGAGAGAGAGAGAGATTATTTAAATTGTTGGAATGTGTATGTGTGAGAGAGAGAGGGGGAGAGAGAGAGATTTATGTAATTTTTTATGGAGAATGAGAGCGTCTCATTGATTGTTTCAAAATGGCATTGTATGATGGATTACTTGAATTGTTTAAAAGGTGTGTGCATTGCACATTAAGACCTATACTTCAATACACTGTTGTAAGAACCACAATAGCAAACTATTTGACCTTCTTCACTCTCCTTATAAACTTTTTTTTTTGGTAAATGAGTAGTAGATTTCTATTAAAGAAAATAAACATCGGAATACAAAATAAACAGTCTGATTCGACCACACAGTTGAAGAACACCGCCAMGCTCACCAAGTCCAGGCCCTGCCTTAGCGCAATGGCTTCAGCTTTGAGGGCTAAGGCCACAAAAACAGGTCCAAAACAAGCTGCCAAACAAAAACCTTTGTGATTTCTGAATACAGTTCTATAACTATCCAAATTATTTTGTTTGAAACCTCCATCAACATTAACTTTAACTTGACCATCTCTTGGGGGAAACCAAAAAGGGGTTTGGGTCGGAGGGACCTAAGATGCAATTATACCTTATGAGGAGCTCATCCAAGTCCCTGTTAGTGTTTTCAAAAAGAATTTTGTTTCTAGCTTTCCAAATTAACCAATGTAAATAAGCAGCGTTTTGTGTTTCMGCTGAATTACCACACAGTCGATAGACATCAGAGAACTCTCCTTAATTATATACTATGACCTATGACCACTGATTGATCATTGATCAATGACTGATCCAGGGATGGACTAACATTGTACTTTAGTGGGCTTGACTCACTATTTCTTGTGAGAAGCCAAAACAAAAAAAGAAGGGATATTAATCTATTAGAAGTACCCCTAAGTTCCATGAAATTGATTTATTCATCTATATTATTTAGAAATTGTTTTAAATTACCTTCAAGTTTTTTTTAATAATTGATTAAATCATCACCAGTCGTAAATATTTGTTAACGAAGAGATGAAAAGAAAAAGAAAAAACTATTTTACCCATCATTCTTTTTTTTAATCCTTAAAACGCAACATTTAAATAACACCCTGTTGGTCTTCTTGTCACAACAAACATTCTCCATTGGCAAAGCTTTCCAACAGATAGAAATATCCAATGAAACTATTTGCAACCCAAAAATTAGATGGGATGATCTCTCTCTTGTGTGTTGCTACTTGCTACAAATATCTTTGAACAAGTGAGCGGGAGGAATCATCTCCCACCCAAAAACTAGATTGAGGATGCCATCTTAACTCTATCTAGCTCCATGTCCTTGTGTATGGATTGAAGGCTATATTATTGTTTGCAATGTGAATGTTGAGTTTTCAATGGGTTGAAGGCTATATCATTGTTTGCAATGTGAATATTGAGTTTTATTTTGAAATTTTAAAGAATAATGGAGGGAAAAAACACCAAAACATTATAATATTGGAATATTGGKTTTTTTTTTAAATATTTTGTACGTTGTATAGTGTCACATGTGAATAGATTGTGGTAGAACGTTAATGGCAGGGGAGGATTTAGTCAATTGTCATAAAACTTTTGATATCTTAATACATATCTAATTAAACAGTAGTGACTTTCCTAAAACTTAAGGGTATTTCGAGAAATTTGCACTTATTTTAAAATTTCCATGACCTATTCTTAAAATTACTTAAACCACCCCTAAAGTTTCAAAAAACTTTTTTTATTTTAAATGTTCAATAAACTAATTAAAGATCCCTAAAACATGACATATTACATTTTCTTAATGGACCCCCCATGACACTTTTAACATGGCATATTACATGTTATATGTGACATCACATGATACTTTTAATTTTTCAAAAATCTAATTTTGCCCTCACCTACCATCCATAGAATGGACTTCAGGGTCCACTAATAAACAAGTTACTTTACTTCCATCAAGATGATGATTGAGTTTTGCATCATTGCATGTTGAGGAAATAGCACATGGATTACAACTCATACAAAGCAACATGGAGACAGTTTTTTGGTTGTATATGGCCACTTCTAATTTCACATTATGTGTTGGTCAAAACAAATTGTTGAGGAATTTTATTATCACATTACATATGACCACTTCCACTAAAAATATATATGTATTGGATTAGGGGTTGACATTTATGGTAGAAATATCAAATTTGAAGTTTCATGAAGAAGCATCAATAGTACCTAATGTTATATTGATAACTCAAAGCATTTGTGGTCATAAAATTTGTATGGACAACTTAAAACATTGGAAGTAGAAGTGGCAGTGATATCAAATGTTTTTGAAAATTGCTACATCTTCAGCCTAATGCTTGGGCATTGTCATTTTGTTTTATTTTCAACAATATCATATTTCTTAAAAGTAAAAATTTCCAGATATCACTCCGTTCTTTTAGTATATGTTTGGCATTGATGCTGCTGATACAACAGTGTTTTCTTGCTGAACAGATGTGTCACCGTTTTCTAGAACAACGGCAACGATGCCAAATAGATGCTTAATACCTCTTATTTTTTATACTTTAGACATCATAGTTGCAATATTTTTATTACTTGTCTTCAAAACACACTTTGTACATTTTATTAAGGGAGAATGATGGATCAGGGTCAGAATTTATAGGCTCAAAGTACTGTTGGGGTAGGTGCCAATTCGGAATTGATGTCAATTTATGGGCGGTCATTGGTGCGTAGAGCGTGGGTTGTTTATAACTCTGCAATGGAAATCAGAAATCTGCATTGGACATGTCCATACTTTTACATTTTATTATTTATTTATTAGTAGCACACAAATGTCCACAATATCCATCATTACCATTTAGAGAACAAGGCCTAAATGTTCCAATTGACCTTTTGACTGTATTTGGTTACAATGCAAATTTATTTGCACTGATGCGAAATCATGGTAGTGTAAATGATCTCGATGCAAGGTATGATTTATTTTTGTTTCAAAATTTATCACATTTTGTTTGATTGTAGCACAAATGAAGTAAAATAAGACTTGAAGCACAATAAAATAAGACCCAAAACAAAATTAAACCAGAATTTGCATTTTTTTCATTTGCATTCCCATACATTTGTATTAGTACAAATAAAATGCACTGCAATCAAACACAACCTTTGGGTTTTCAAGGATTCAACTTTTTTTTTTTTTTTTTTGTTTTCCAAAAATTGCCCCCAAAAGGTTCATCCTCTTACGTATGCTATAAATTGAGAACCCTACGACAGTGACAACAACAATAATAATAATAATGAAGTAATATTTATAAATTATTATTATTGTTTATCAATGTATTATCTATTTACATATTTATTTACTTTATTATTTAGCAATGGTTATTTCTATTATTTGTTTAATGTCCAATTGTTCAATAATTCATTATTTCAATTAATTATAAAAGATATCTAATAAGTATTATTTTAAATAATAATAATAATAATTAATAATTAATATTCAATATGTAGTTAATTATTTAATTAATAATTATGTACTTATATATTTTAAATATTTGTTACAATTTTAACTCTTTAAAAGTATTTAACTATTTATAACTTTTTTTATCAATTATGTTGTTTATTAATTAGTTTATATTCATTTAATTAATTGTTAATGTTAATTAGTATAACAAACATTTTCATATTCAGGATTAAAATGATCAATTGTTATTTTTCAGAAATTGACATTCAGATTTAATCTTACCAAGGAAAGTTAGTGTGAATGAACATGCCCTTATCATAGGCATTCAAATGTCAAGACGCCGATGCAGATGAACAGGCCCTTAAGTTATATTTGGTTTGAAGGAAAATGTATGAAAAAAAAGGAAACGGTAAAAAAATCTTTACAAACTTTGTATAGATTTTCTATCATTCCTTTCTTTTCCTATCTTTTTCCTTCAAATTAATTTAAGATTCGTAAAGGACATAAAGATTTCTATGTTTTTCCCCTCTTTTTTTCCTTTCTTTTTTTTTCCTTAAAACCAAATACTGCCTTAAGTAATTATCAGATAATTCAGGGCGGTTTAAATAATTAACCCCCAGAAGCAGAAGAATGAATGGACTCTCTTTCCTTATAGTGATTCACTGATTAAGGTTTGGTGAGTCGCTTATGTATACCGTTTGATCCACCATCAATTCAATTCTTTTAAACGCCCTGATCGTGATTGGATTATTGATTATTCGTTCTCATGGCGGATTTTAGATTTTTATTACATTCGGGACGACGAGAACGTGGAGTTGCATAAATCAGAGCAAATTCATCCGATGAACTGTGCAAAGTTGCAGACCTTTAGAAAATAGAAACGATTACGAAGGTCAGTTTCTCTCTCTATTTACTTATTTATCTTCGTTATCCTTTCCCTCTTTCTACTTGTCTCTCATTATCTCTAAAATTCGGTCTCTGGGTCTTTGCTCATGAACTTCCCGATCTTTGTATCGTTATCTATTGCGAAGAAACAATATTGGAATAAACCCCATCTTAGAAGGAATTTCGTCAGCGGTTTTCGTGGTTTGGTTATTAAGTGGTGAATGATCAATCGAGAAAACGATTTTAGTTGAATCAAGTGCTACTTGTGTTTTTAATCGCCTAAATTTTCTATGAATTTTATTTTATTTGGACTAAAGACCGGATATTTTTGAGTGTCAGATGATTAATGGAGAGGGAACTCGGGAGAATTCATCGGATGCCGCCTCTCCAGATCTGTTTGATGAGCTTCCGCCCTGGATGGATCAGAATTTAGAAGCTGCTTCGCCAGCTTCATCAGAGTATTCTTCTTGTGGAGAGTCGGAATTTGAGAGATATTGCAGTGCGAATTCAGTTATGGGGACAACGAGTTTGTGTAGTTCCCTTGGAACTTGTAATGAGTTTCTTGATTCTGATTCGGGCTCCACGAGAAGTTTGGGGCACGGGGAGGATCGTCTTTTGGAGAGTTTTGGTTTCGGAGGAAGGTTTGGGAGGAATTCTAGGGACAGGGGGTGTGCCTCTTTGGGAGATTTTGATTGTTTACCAGATGGATCCATTGAAATTTGCAAAGGAAAAATGGGTATCGAGAATGGGGTTTCCGTAGAAGGGAAGGTGTTATCGAGGAACAAAAACCAATCAAAGTCTTTGCTTACTTATCAGGAAGGTGCCACGGAAGTAGGAGATTTTTGTTCAGAAGTTAAGAATGAAAATTTAGCAATGCTGAAGGTGGGCAGTGCATCGAAATYACTCAGGAACCTAGGTGCTGATGCTTCATCGAACACGGGTACCTCTAATGGGAATAATAGTGAAGGTTTGGTTTTGTCAAATGGTCCCAGTGAAGTGGGATCCTTGCAAAGCTTTGCTGAAAATAATACCTCCAAACAGATTATTAGTGTGGAAAATAATGAGAACTTAAATAAGTTCAGAATTGTAAATGAATCACATTCTTTGCTGGGATCAAGTGAGGAAATCTCATCTTACCCTTCCCCTTGTGAAGATAATTCTACTGAGCAAATCCACACTGACATGGATCATTTCCACAGCTTAACTTCAGCATTTGATGTTCCAATCGATGAAAGGGAAATTGACAGACTACCAGAAGAAGAGGACACCTCATCCCGATATGAACCTTCAGAAGATGATAGTTCAATGTTGGACTCTGGAACGGATGACGAACAGAGTGCCAGTTGTAGAAGAAACTTACAATTTAGGCAGGAAACCAAAACTGAGAATGAAAATCCATTGCTTATGAACTCAGCTGTGGCTTTTGGTTCAGATGATTGGGATGASTTTACACAAGAAATGAACCTTATGAATGAGATCAATTTAGTGCCTTTATTGCCGGATAGGCCTCAGGAACAACTGCATCAAGAAACTGAAGGAAATCTTTTAAATTCCACTTTTCTTGGTGACATTGGCTCTCCAATTTTCGGTAGATCACAGATAGAAGAAAGTGTCAGAGATATAGCTATGGCTAGTCATCAAGTCGAAGATATGCATGAGTCAACAGGGTATGCAAAATGCAAGAGTTCAACTCCAGCCAGGAATGTCTTAACTTCTGAGAAGGATCTTCCATTGCAAAAGGCTCCAATAGAAACAGGTTCAACTCTCATGGATGATGGTGCAGAAAGGAATCTTCAATGTATAAACAGTGGCGAAGTCAGCAGCCATGATGAGGTTGGAATTTCAGAAAGTGTGTCGGTTGAGAAATCAAAAATTCAACTCCAACTGGCACCTCTTTCTGATGCTTCTGTTAGCAAACTTTGTTCCACTGAAAATGAAGCACCTCAAGGTAAAGAGGCAGGATTTTTGGAAGACCAGCTGGACCTTCTTTTTGATGTTTCATATAACCAACTTTGTTCCTCTTCAACTGAGGCACCTCAGGAGAAAGATGCGGGAATTTTGGAAGACCATGAACCAAATGCTCACTCCCCTATGGTTGATATTAATCAGGAAACCTGCCTAAATAGAATACTTGCAGATTCTTCTATTTCAAAAGATCAGGTTGAAGACCATCTGACATCTGTTGAGGTCAGTTAATTTGCTTCTTATATATTCAAAGAAAAATCTCCATACTTATGTTTTCATATACCAAATAATTTGTGGTTTGGTTCTCTAGCTTCTATCTTTTGGTTCCTTGATAATTAGCATTACCAATTTTTTTATAATTTTGAGCCTTTATTCCCTTCCACCCTGCAGTTGCACTGTAAGTCAAGACTAGGAAGTATGTTTTTGTAAATACACTAAAATAAATATCTAAATCTACTGTCCTTTTACTGGTGTCCAACAAAATGTGTACCTGGAACGGAAGTGGATATTTCACGGACACTTATAGATTATTGTTTATAGCATCAACACGTTTAGAATGTGCAATATGGTTTTTTTATCAAATCATCATACTATAAAATATTTGTATGTGTTAGTTTAAGTAAATTTGGCAAGATGTAAGCATTGAAAAATGACATTTAGCTTTAAAAGCTAGATAATAAAGGCATGATATAATCATATGATTCAGATAGTTGGGCATGATATAAGCATAAAATGGGATAGCTGTACCTGTGTCCATGTTTGGGATCTTAAGAAATGAAGAGTTGTCATCCTATTTCCCGTATCAGTGTCCACTGTAGGGTCCTTATATGGGAATCAATACATTTGTGCCGGAGGGTTCAATAGCTCTCTAACAGATTATATGCAGAAAATAAATCCATATAGATTTGAGATCTAAGAAAATAATAGAAACAGAAGCATGATTTCAAAGATTGAAATTACCAACCAAAAAAAAAATCGAAGGATATAAATAGATAGGAGACTAAGAACAGAGAATTTAAGACAATAAGATACAAAAGATAGAAAACTAAGATCTTTACTGTTGTCATTTGATCATTCATCCTAAACTAAAGTAAGCCTTAACTAAACTTTTTGTAAATGAAATGTACAAGGGTAAGATACTTTTTGACAAATACATTTGTACTTTTTCTATTAAAAAATATTCATCTTGCTCTTCTGTATTGTTTAATACATGTTAACATTGGCGGTCTGATAGCCCTTATTTGCCTCTTTTTTTTTTTTTTTAACAATTGTTTATTTGACTCATTTTTGCACCTAAAACAATTTAAAGAACTCTTACTTATTGGAACAGAAAACCAGGTGGACCCCACTAAGATAGTTCCGAGACTAATGACAGAAACTCCTTTCAACTAGTCAAACATATTATTTACAAGTAAAACCTGGAATTTAACTCGAAATAAAATAGGTCTTATTCATAAATAATAATATGTGCATATGCCATTGTGCCGATTATATTTAATTGTTACCTATTTTTCAATAATATTTGTATATTCTGATAGCTTCTAAATTGACATGCAATGCTAGATTTTGGTCTCACCAGTGTACCCTTAGTGTTGCTTAGGAAATACATCTCTTAGGGAGCCTTGTTGCTTGGAAGAGAATGAAATCAGGACTCTTCAAACTTTTGGCTCCTTGCCAGGAAAAAAGGGTCAAAACTTCTGGTTTTTAGTCATGAAACATCATTTTGCTTTAGAGCATTAGAGTCCATATTAGTTGGGCAAGGGTGATAAATTGCATTTTCAAGAGGACAAATAATGTGTGAAAGTAGAATGCCTGACAATTCCAACAAAGGAGAACCCATAGCAAGCCAAGGCTCTGAAACAGAAGGGAAATCTACTAATAATGAGAAAAAAAGATAGATGCTGAAATACATCACATCAACACTATGCCTGTGACGATGATCTCCATCTCCTATACAAGATATTATGCCTTGGCTCTAGCCAGACTATTGACCATCAAGTTTGCTGATTCACAGCCTAGCAGAATGAAGGATGGAAGCTGAAGATTTTACCTATTGGGGTGAATGATTCTCTAAGAACCCATTTAACTATCACTTGTAGAGCAAATAATAATCTGAGGCTCAACATTAATGATAATAGGATATCATGAGGCCTTGGAGGAGTAAAAGAGGGTTAACCTTCACAAAATTGCCAATCACTAGAAACCAAAAGTGAGCTAAGTCTACCATGCCCCTCATTCTTCAGCTGGTTTGTCTTTAGTCAAATGATGTTTATAATTTATAACTTATTGTGTCCTTGTTAGTTCAGGGTTTGTTTTGACTCTAAATAGTTCTAATACTAAATGTGGCCCCAGTCATCAGACTTTTTCTCTTGTCTTTCACTTCTTTGGCTTTATCTCCTTATCATCCCTCAGTGGTGTTCCCAGTTAAAGCAACTTGGTAGGATCCAATATGGACTTGTCAGGCCTTTTCTCTTGTGTTTACCTTTTGCTTTATCTCCTTATTATCCCTTTAAAGTATTCACAGTGAAAGCAATTTGGTTGGGCCCAGCACCCCCACAGAAAATCAGGGCTTTTTATTGGGAGGTTTTTTACCAGTAACAACAGAAATTTTTAATAAAATCAATGAAAGAATACTTTTAATACATTCTTGTGCCAAGCTATGATAGCCAAATACCTCTACAAAGGTGCCATATTATGTTGTTGGATACTTCAATATTTTAGTGTAAAGTCACTGTAAACTACGTATCAACACTGACCAACCATGTCTTTATTGTTTCTAGGTAACGTAGGTGCCAAGCACCCCAAACTGTTGGCCTAGCACATGCTAGCCACCCCTTTTAAGTACTTCTACATTGACCCTTCACCATTCTTGAGAGAGTACCCCCTCCCTCCCCCCAATACAGTTGACTGTGATTTCATTTACCCCTTGTCTTGCTAAGCCATTTGCCAGTCCATTAACTGATCTTGAATCTAGTTCTACCTTGTTCTCAATTCCACAGCCAACTGCTTCACCTCCTTCATCATATCTCTATTTTCTAGAGCTGGTGCTGTTTTCCTTTAGCCTGCCCACAACCACACGGAAGTCATCTTTCACTAATGAATTTCTGTACTCAAGGGCCTCAGCCAGCCTTATACCTTCTAGGACTGCCGTTAGTTCAGCCCTAGTTGAGTCTCCATGTCCAATGAGTCCTGAATGTTTACTGCGAGATGATTCACTGCTTGATTTGTTTATATTGCACTTGAGTGTTACAATTTCTACAGAAAACCAACTGGCGTTGCAAATATTTCTAATTCAAGAAGCAAGATTTTCTCCTGTTACTGTTAACAGATATCAATTTGTAGGTAGTGGCATATTGAGTTTAAAGTTGTTTTGCAGACAGCCCAACTCATTATACTTGTTATCATTTGGAAAATTGATTAAATCAAACTCTCCTAGGGGAAGTTTTATTGGCTAGAAAATATGAATGGTGATTATGTTCTACATGAATATAGTTATAAACAGAATACCCATCATACTTGTAGGATTACTTGGTCTAAATATATATACTTCTATTAGACTTGACATGGGGACCTAACTATGATGATCAAGCTATTGTGTTCTTCATATTTTTAACTGTTTCTTGCATCGCGGAACCCCAAGTATCTTTATTTTTCCTCAACTCAAACATATATTTGTTAAACCTCTATAGTACTTTAGCTGATAATGTTCTAATATGTCCTTTGACTCAGGTTGGGCATCTAGAGTCGAATGAATCCTATGATGAGGTTGTCCTTGAAATGGAGGAAATTTTACTAGACTCTGGTGAGTCTCCCGGGAGAAGGTTCACCAGTAGGTCGCCTCAGTCTTTTAGAGATGGCAGCTCAACTGCTTCCACATCTGGCACAAATTTTGCATACCCATTAATCCAGAACCCACTAAAAATTGATGCCATTGAAGTAATTGGTGCAAAACAAAAGAAGGGAGAAGTTTCACTTGGGGAAAGACTGGTAGGAGTGAAGGAATATACAGTGTATCAGCTGAGAGTGTGGAGCGGTAAGGATCAATGGGAAGTTGAACGCCGATACCGTGATTTTTATACTCTTTATCGCCAGTTAAAAACTTTGTTTACTGATCAGGGTTGGAGTCTTCCAGAGCCTTGGTCCTACGTTGAACGAGAGTCCAGAAAGATATTTGGGAATGCTTCTCCCAGTGTTATCAGTGAGAGGAGTACTCTTATCCAAGAATGTTTACGATCTGTTCTGCACTATGGGTTCTCATCCAGTACATTAGGTCCTTTGATCTGGTTTTTATCCCCTCAAAAATCCCTTCCTAGTTCCCCATTAAATTCACCGGTGCTTCAAAAAACTTCATTCACTAGAGATACAAGTACAGAAAGATTCTCCACTTTAGGGAAGACTATATCACTTCTTGTGGAAAACATGCCTCGCAAGTCAATGAAACAGTTGCTGGAAGCACAGCATTATACTTGTGCAGGATGCCACAGGTACTTTGATGATGGGAAGAATCTATTGCGAGAATTTGTACAAACCCTTGGGTGGGGAAAGCCTCGACTATGTGAATACACTGGTCAATTGTTTTGTGCTTCTTGCCATACAAATGAAACTGCAGTCCTCCCAGCTAAAGTCTTGCATTTCTGGGATTTTACTCAATATCCAGTTTCTCAATTCGCTAAATCATATCTGGAGTCTATATATGACCAGGTAATTTGGAGGTTGATATTATTTATCATGGTTGACTGCATTGTGAAGTAAAATTTTTACCTTCATGGAAAGAAACAACAGTGGCATGGACTGATGTTGTTATGTTAGCTTGAATATTTGAATGACAAACATATATACTCATTGAAGTGTGTTATTATGTGGGCTTATTTACTTATCCCCAACTGAAAGACCTTTTTTTCTTGATGGGTTGATGTGCACCAGCATGCCATGTATATAGAGTGTAGGGGGCCCATGATTGATGGCCTTACTATGTGGATCATATTGTAATGAACCTAAAATAGGCTGATTGGATGATCCTAAGCATCCAGGTTGTTTAACATTTTCTTGGATCAACTTCATTTTATCTTTAGATCATCTTGTTATTGGTCTACATAACTACAAGGGAATATGTATCAATTAATGCACATCATATCCCTCTGTTGCTGGGATGTGCCACATGAGTGCACTGAGGCAAAGATAAAAGAAGATCCTTAAATTTCTTGATGAATAATCAATATCATGCATAGCTTTCTAGTGAAATGTGAATATTTTGGGTCACTATAGTAACATACTCTTAAATAAATTTTCTTTTTGCAGCCAATGCTTTGCGTCAGTGCAGTCAATCCTTTTCTGTTTTCAAAGGTCCCTGCCCTGCTCCATATTATGGGTATCAGAAAGAAAATAGCAGCTATGCTTCCATATGTTCACTGCCCATTCCAGAGATCAATCCATAGAGGACTGGGTTCTCGAAGATATCTTGTTGAAAGCAATGATTTTTTTGCACTCCGAGATCTTGTTGACCTTTCCAAAGGGGCATTTGCAGGTTAGCTTTGGATAAGAACCCTTTTTTCATTTACTTAATAGGAACCAAAAAAGAATTTCTTTTTACTGTTAGTTCCAATATGACTTGCATGTATATGAAAGTATGCATTACTTCATATGATTTGAAGTTTTTCTTTTTATTTTTTTTGTTCCCCTCTAATGTTCTTGTTGTATATCCACTCTTGTAGCACTCCCAGTCATTGTAGAGTGTGTCTCCAATAAGATCTTAGAGCACATTACAGAGCAATGCCTCATTTGTTGTGATGCGGGTGTTCCCTGTGGTGCTCAACAAGCTTGTCAAGACCCATCCTCCTTGATATTCCCCTTTCAGGTGGGTATTTTTTGAATTGGTGTGAAGGAATTCTATTATAATATTATTGTAGTTAGTGTTATTGTAAATCGGGTTCACATACAAAGTATTATGATCTATCTGGTTGTGATTCCCAGGCTACAATAAAACCTAGTTTTCAAGGAGAATGTCCTGCTAATTCTAGAGCTTTGTCGATAGAACTTCACTGGACAGATCTCCTATAAATATGGGTGATCATGTACCATCCATCCTAGTGCAACATTTTTTGATGGATAGAAGTGCAACTTCATCTTGACAAGGCTTGTTAACTGAAGCATACAGATGCTACTGTATTAGTACTTGAGATCCTATCTCAAGACCTTCTCATTTGGAATTGTTTTGCTGGCCAAAATAGGTTTTTAAACTATCAGATTCTCCTTTTAATAACTGTAGCTAGTTTCTTTTGCTCTTACAATTATCAGCAGGAAGGTGAGATAGAAAGATGCAGTTCTTGTGAAACAGCTTTCCATAAAGTTTGCTTTAAAAAGCTTAAGAGATGCCGATGTGGTGCGTATCTTGAAATGGACAAAGGCGTTGAGCCCCTAGAAACAATGCAGCATGGGACCAGTGATGAACTGGATGGAGCTTTGGATTTATCAGCAAGGAAGTCTGGTCCCACATCCCCGATTGGCTTACTCTCTGGTCTGTTCTCAAAAGCTAAGCAAGAGAAGGCGTGGAGTCCTAAAAACAGTAACCCAGTCATTCTCATGGGTTCTTTACCAAGCACTTCTCTCTAATCGTTTGAAATTGCAATATACCTKTGTACCGTATTGCTTAATGTTTAGATACCGTAAGTCCAATGGAAACCAGGAGCCTATTTGTTGCACTTATGATGTAGTTAGTGGAATAAACAGATGGCCATTTTTTATATGTAGGGAAGGGAAAATGTGGAGTACAGATGCTTGTTATTTTTCTGTTCTCTCTCTCTCTCTCTCTTGGTGAGGGGGCGTATTTTTTTGTAACAAAATGTAATCCAAGTGAGAAACTATTGGAATGTGAGATTTTTCTTTATCTTTCTTCGCTTTTGTTGTTACTTTTCTTTCATCAACCATGGTGGATTGCCCTACATCGAAGCAGCACAAGAAAAAGGTTGCACAGATACAACTCTTCATTCTTGAACTTGGGCTTCAGCCGGGTAGCTGAACTGAAAGGCGTCCCAGGAAACATCTTTCAATAAGCTGAAGATAGAAAAGTATCAATCAGTATTCTCATAAGACATATTCTAGTATTTAACAAAACCCAAATAATTGTGTTTTTGGAGAGGAAAGCAGATAAGACCATCAGATAATTGATCAAAACTATTGCAGAAGCAACCATGCAATAAGGGATAGTTTTAAAACTCTAATACTAGTGAGTTGCAGACTACTTGAAACGATTTATTGATATACGATCAAACTCTAATTTTAAAATTCTAATTTTAAGGCGGGATTTGGTCGTGTTCGGCTGGGTGTGGGTCCTGTCCACACCTCAATATAGCGTGGACAGGTCCCATCCACACCCCCAATTTCTCATCCACGGTAAAATCTCGTGATTGGGGATCGTCCACACTTGATTTTTGATCCCCTACTTACCTTATTGTTTGTTTCACGTTTTAATAATTTTGTTAATAAAATATTAATTATTTTATTATTTTTTTTAAATTTGAATGTTTTATCAATAAAATTATATTTTAAATATTTTAAAATTTTAATTATTTTACTATTGTTTTTATAAAAAAATAATATTTATTGGTTAATATTAATTCATTGATTTTTCAATATATTTATCATGTAAAATGTAAAAATTAGTATGTAGATCAAGGTTTTTGAATCGCCGTTGACCTAGACGATTGGACCGTTCAGCCCGAGAATCGTCTAGGCAAGTGGTTCTGTTTTACCCCAAACCTGATTTTTGGCCAAAAATCGTTAAAAAAGTCAACAACCCGTTGACCCGTTCAATGTTTTTTTGCCGTTTTTATTTTTAGTTATTTTTTTAATTTGTTTGTCAAAACGGGTCATCCGTTTGAATCGGATAGCCAGACCGTTGACTCGAAAACTAGTGGCCAGAACGGTTCCATTTCTGGGTTGTTTTTTAAAATGTTGGTATAGATCATTCATAAATGTATATGAGATATATGGAATCAAAAAGTGTCCACACCACGCCTACAGAATGTCATTGTGGGTGTGGACTGGTCCAATCTACACAATTTGTCCACAGTTCAAAACAATTGTGGATTGGCCCTTGCCATAGGGTGTGGTGTGGACCAGTCCACACCCATCAATTTCTCATCCACACTACAAAACACCTCCCACCAATTTTTCATCCACACTACAGAACACCCCTAAAGAGATTGATGTAGACAAAATAGGATTAAATGAACGTAATAACTACTTAGCAGGCTGTGAAACTGAAAATAGTGCTGTGGTGTTCTGTGAGTAGGGATATGGGAACAGTTTGTGAGCAGCAGATTCGGAGTGTAATATTAGATTTTTCACCAAATATAGCTAATAGGCTGTCCCTGTGAGGCCCACTAATAAAGACCAAATCCCATCCGATGTAGGATTCTGTTCCGATTGGGTTTTCTGGCTTAATTCAAGTCCATTTTGCAAAATTGAAATTGTAAATAAAATAATCAATTAAGTTAAGCATATAAAAAAAAATTATATGTATATGAAATAATCAATTTTTGATATTATATATATATATATATATATATTTCTAATGATTTCTGAATTTACCAAAAGTATTGTTGTAAAAGCTTGAGTCAAAATACTGAGACGTTCAGCTTGGGTGCTTTTAACTGCTAGCCTAATGGTTTATGTACATGGCACGGATTAGGGCCCACAATTTAGGGGGCCCACTAACAAACATACGGATTGTCTGTAAAAAAAATGGCCATAATTATTAATTTTGATTTTTGACCATATGATTTGATAGAATATTTTTACGTTATAGTAGGTTCGAATGAAGGCAACAACTCTGCTAGTACTAAATCACTTTACAAAGTAAATAGCTACTTAAGCTCTCCCCTGTCCCCTCTTCCAAGACAAAGTTGCTTTCTGCCTAAGAACAGAAAGGTCCAATGTGACCATTTTGCTTTACAAATTTATAGCTTCTTCTATCATTAAAATAAACTTTATACCTGGAAAGTGAACCTAAGCTAACATAGGGCATCAATACTGTTAGAATGCTGGTGGTACTTAAGTCCAGGTTACAGACATTCCCTGTGATCTTAGATATTGTCCATTTGAACCCAGGGAGGAGGCCTCCAAGAGTCTTAAGACAAAGTTCATCTGTTTAGAACTTGAGGGTTCCGATTATTTCCGCTTTCATCCATTTGATAAAATCTGTGTAGCATTTCTTCTATAATGTTCTAGAGTTATTTTCTGGCCATCTGAAAATAAACTAATTGAATGAATATTTTGGTCCAAGAAAGATGATAGAACCCACAAACAGAACATGCTGCGTTAATAAGAATATTTAGGTACCATCACACATATTTTTTAAATGTTGAAAGGGGAATATCCCTGCACATTAAAAAGAAAAAAAATAGATAAGCTAAGGTATTATCCCTTCTAGGAATCCACCTCAACAATTCTCCAATGTGGGAGCCTATATGCCTTAGCCTCTCTAAAAGCTAAATGTTTCATTCTCTCCCACTGCTTATGGTCCAGGATTACTTAACACATACCCATCAAACTTGGTGGAAGCTTATTCATTGATGAGCAATATACCATTTGGAAATAAAGCCAAGTGCTAATAAAATATGGTGATAAGTATATATTCTCTTGAACCTCTGATCATCCCTCACTATCTCAAGTCATTTTTTGGCCTTATAATACGATAATACAAGGACTACTAAGTCACCCACAAAATTGAGCACTAACATTGTCTTTGGTCTTTCATTGCGCAACCAAAACCTTCAAGTCCAAAGATAATACAATCATTAAAAGGATGTATGGATAGACTAGGAATTAGAACATCTATTTACTGCAAGAAGTTATGTGCTTAGCACAATGCTTATATTCCCAAAGGGAAGGAAAAGGTGGTGTAACAAATGTGATCTTCACTAAAATTCTTATCCTCCCAAAGGCAAGGAGGAAAACAAAAAGAAAAGAAACAAACAGGTATACCTTCATTGAGTATCCATTTGTATGTTTCTGAAAAAAAAATACATTTCTCATATGATCAATAGTGTTACAGTAAATGTTAATGAATTTTGTCGAGTTAATGACCCTCATATAATCTTTAACCTTCCAGCATTTTTCATTGACCTTCACCGAGGAGCACAGGCCTTGTTTGACAATCAATATTGTGTTGATGAAGCCCCACCTTTAATGCTGTGAGACCATGAGATGATAAAGGAATAGCATGAGACCCATAACAGCTATTTACATAATACACTGGTAGGACTGAGGGAACCATCTCAACATCAAGAAATGTTTCATTCTCATCATTAGAGCAAAAATGCCATAGCAAGGGATATGCATCAGAGCCACTGACAAGTACCTGCGAACAACATCAAAGAAAAGGATTTTTTGTAAGGTGAATTATGAAGTTTCATTCTACAGTATTACATAAAAGCAATCAAGTCATGAAAATCTTATACAAACAAACTACTAGAATATTAGTTCTTGTGCAATGTTTAGTTGTCTAAGCAATTGATTGTTTCCCTTGGACAAGCCATGGAACCAAATATTTCACTGGTCAGGTAATCTCAACCATTTGCATATTTTCTGGATCATTTTCCATGGTTATAATCAAGAATGACACAACAGATAAAAGAGCATTTCCTTTAGCCGATATACAACATAGATAAGTTTGTTCTCCCGTACTTCAAGAAAATTGTGATAACTTAAGATTACATACCATACTGGAGCATATGAGGAGGATAAATCGAGAAATGGGTATGGCCACCTACGACAAAGATAATTATCATTACATATAATGGAGCTTATAAGGTCTCAGATTCCAAAGGTTAAAACAGGAAACCAACTTACCAAATTGAGATACAAGCATGGACAAGCCATTGAAAAATGACATATATACCTGTCCACAAAACAAAATATCCAAACCGAAATAGAGGAAACCGCTGAAAAGTGAAAAACACGGATCAGAAAATAACTTGATAAACAATTACTAAATTAAATAAAAAAGGTAGCAAACAGATAATGAATGAATTGCAACTTACCAAGCAATTCAATGCTGTGTCCCCAAGCAGCAAAATAACATTGACAGAATGCATGCCAATCAGCAACTGTCACATGAGGAAAGAATTACTTTTCAAATACAAAGTAATTAAATACAAACAAATACAAAGAATAATTCACCAAATAACATGATAAAAGAAAAGAAAAATCTAGCAGATGCACCCTTACTAACATATACACTTGTGGGCATAATTATTAATCACTAAGAAAAGGAAAGAAGAAAAAGAAAAGGTATGGTTGTGACCTGTGAGACATGATCAAGGTGGCAATGGCACACTTGCTCAGTCATAAAATACATGTACAAGAACATGGAAAATATGGTTAAAATTTTTACTTTTAATCTTAAGATTTTTTCATGATACTCAAAAAGAAAATTCCAAATTCCATCTAAATTTTTTAAGTCAAATGTTCTTAAAGTGATTAGTTCTACAGGACACGAAAAAACAATCATTACAATTGTCTGGCCACCAAATTCATGACATGATAGCTTCCAGGTAAATAAGTCACTCGTTCACTTAATTCTACACAGATGTGTTATTTTAAATATGCAAGAGGAATACTCCACTAAAACTCACTTGTGAGCCAAAAAGGTGAGGTTTTAATGCCTCCAAGTACTTTGAGAAAGGTAAGTGAAATAATACAAATTCTGTATACAAGTGGATCATTTCTTAATGTCCTTTGATATTGATCAATAAGACTATTGATATGTCCCCTTGTCTCCATAATGGATTTCCAAAGCTGCCCACTCAGCACTTTCTATGGCATGTAAATTAGCTTTTTTGGGTTGGCTAACTATCACAAAGATCATCTTAGACTAATAATTGAAGATTTATGAAAAAAACATAAATTTTACATGTAAATTTTAACACTTCACTGGAGCTACAATTTCAACCCAAAAAAACCTTCTTTCACAGTGGCGGCTTAAATGTATATAAAAAATGATGAGTTCTCTGCATCCATTTGGTACTAGAAGCATATGCACATGTAGGTAGAGCAAATACAATTTCAGGAAAGGAGATAACAAGCACATCAAATTGAACCATTAATTGTACTTGATACTTACAAAATTCAGACTGTAGTCTTTCATGGTTAGAAATGGAACAATGATGAGCCAAAAAACACAATCAGTGAGCATCACAGCACCTGCACTCATCTGTTTATCAAAATAAAAATGAGAAGAAAAATTTTAAATTTGCAAGTGAATGCATTTCTTGCAGAAGGCCTAATTGATATATCAGCATAATAGGCTTAACAGACACCAGTGTCATACAATATTGTTCAAATTATTCAGTTTGAATAGAAAATTTTCAGGTTGTATCCCAACCCAGGATCATATTTAGGAATTAAAGGGGGTAGTACCATAATAAGATAATACAAAGGCCAACAAATTTAATCAGCATTCAACCTAGAAGACTTCCTAGATATGAACCATGGAAGTGCACCACAATTCCCACTTTGCAACTGATAGACATTCCTTTTGGCCTAATATATATGGTTACAAAAAAATTCCTTAAAAAATCTATCCATACATCTGTTAGTACATAGAACAGGTATAATAAAAACAGGATGGGGAACCTCATTTCATTTGTATATGAATGGGAATTACACTTTGCACACTTCATGTGTCCTACTCAATCCTATGTTTTCCTCAATCACTACCTTGACTGATTCTTGGGGAGAGGTCTTACCTGAAAAATAATTTGAAAAACATAAACCAAAAGTCCAGCAGGCCGGTGAACATGGTTTTCCTCCTGCACATCTGACCTTTTTGCCATGTTGATGGCATTTGTATTCTCCCCATGTGTGGGAGCCACATTGGTGCCTTGCTCCATATCTAAACCAGAATGATCAATCTTATCACCACCATCTTTATTGTCGCATCGATAACACCCATAAGTGGAGAGAAATGAACCAAGCTACAAGTGGGAGTTGCAGCCATAAGCAACATATATATAAAAAGTAAAAAAGATAAATAGATACAAAATGCATGAATAAGTTTAGAACAGAAAGGGGGGAAAAGGCGTTTCATGTTCATAGAAGCAGATATATGTGTATGTGTGTGTGTGTGTGTGTGTTTGAAACATAGAGAAAAGGAATGTGGGTTTATTAATAATAGGTCCTTCAGAGTTAAAGGGCTTACCCCAAAATATATGGTAACCAATGTAAATGTCCACCTGCAAGCACCCAAAATCATAACACTAAAGTTAAAAGATAAGAAACTTAACCCTCCATACTTAATTAGAAACCTAGTTTTACATACAACTTTGTTTAGTAATGAATATATCAAATGGTCTATTGATCTTTGATTATACTTCATGTGGAAGGTCGTTCTGCAATCCCTCAAATAATAAAAATGATTCAAAGAAATTTATGAGGCACTCCAAGCAATGAGAGATAGAAGTCTTCATGTACATATAATTTACACGCAGATCTCTTAAGGTGTTGTCCATCACAATGTTTAGAAGCTGTTTCTTACACCTTTGAAATGAATGTTTTCTTTGGAAGATACTTGAAGATCAAACCCCTTTCTGAAGTTATATTTCATAATGAGCTATCCTGCTTTTTTTTTTTTTGATCAGCAAAGACATTCAGCTTAATTAACCATTCTGTATTTACAAAACGAAACAATTTTTCTGTTCTTTTTTTTTTCTCAGGGAAGGGGGGTTTAACAAGTACAAAAGAACACACATGATCGACTCAGTCACAAGATTCATGGACCATTCTGCACCAAAAATTCAGCAGTATGAACAGGAAAACAGGACTTCCAGCAAAGAAAAACGAAAGCATACCACTGATACTCCACATATTTTGAAAACAGTGCGAAAATAAAATTTGATTAACACTTCTATGGTAGTATCAAGTATAAAGCTAGCAAAAAAAGGCAAAAGAGTTAGCTTACTGGGTATAGTAGTAAAATATGCCACCCCCATCAACAATGACATTGGCGATGAGCAATGCCAAAAGCACAATAAACGCAGTAACGCGATAAGCCAGCAGCCAAGCGGGATGCAAGTCTTTCAAACACGGCCTCCAAGCTTCATCCTCATATAAAGACCCTGGTTTTCGTCGTCGGGTTTGTCTTCTGTCATTTTCTGAATCGCCAGAACCTTCATATTTCCATATTAACACTGATGCTAATACCATGGAGGTCAATAGCCAAATAGCACAGAGCAAGACCCTCCAGTTCAACCAATAACTAGGGGTGGTTGTGTCAGAAGTCATGACTGGCTGCCAAGAATGTTTGTTTGAGTCCCCTGTTAAGAAATCCATGGAGTTACCTCTAATACTTTTATGTTATGTAAATGCTTAATTTTTCTAAAACAGGATTAGTTTAACGGAAACCCAGACAAATAAAAAAATATATTTACAGAAAAAAGGAAAGAAGACGTTACGAAGAAATTGTTCCGGAAAAAAATAAAAAAATGAAACAATTTACACACCGAAGATAAACTTCCCAGACCAGAACATGGTCACATCTTGATTGTTTCCATGAAAAGAAAAGAAACCTTTACGAAATGTACGAATTTGATGGAAACCAGAAAAGCAAGTACCAGTTAATCAAACAAGCATCCCTGTCCCAAAAGAAAATACTCTGCAATTCCAAGCCTATCAACCCAAAACGACGATAACTTGATATGAGTCAAAACTCTGAAAGTGAATTTTCGTGATAAATCAGTGCAGGTTAAAGTATAAAAAAAGAATTTAAGAATGGACATTGGAGGGGTAGAACACAACTGAATCGCTCACAAGCTCTAAAATCTATTAAGAAGAAAAAGAAGAAGGAATGAGCAAATCGAAGAAAAACCAATGAAGAGGAATGAAAACAGAAACCCGAAACTCAAGAGACCAACACCAGCGACTAGAAATGCAACTAGACACCATTAACGTGATAATCAATCAAAAGAATCCTAACTGTAACTGGGTTTCTCATTAGTAAAATCATAGTTGAAGGAGAAAAGCTAGTGTTGCAAAGTGGGAACTCAAGCACCAGGAACGAAGACGAATTTAACCCCATTAATGGACAGAAATTGAGCAAGATTCTTAGCTTTAGATGGGTTTTGCAGGGAGAGATGAAATCAATATTAAATGAGATGTCAGGGAGCTGAATTCTAGAGAAAGGAAAGTTGGATACTTACATTGAGAAAAGGAAGGAGAATGGGGGTGGTGTGTGAATGAGATGCTTTGCTTCTTTTCTTTGGAGGCAAAACACAAAAAAGGGAGAAGAGCAGATAAAAGGGTAGCTTGCTTTAGACATAAGCTTCTCTTTTATCTCTTCCCTTCTCCAGAGACCACCCCAATTGCGGGCTCAGATTGCGTTACTTTTATTATATCAACATATATCCAAACAGATGTACAATACATGTATTCAAAGAAAGCTAAAAAATAAAATGTAAAGATATCAGTCAGCCATCTTTTATGAGAAGTGTTTTCTTTCTTTGGTCTCTTTTCTTCTCTGATCACTCAATGTTGGAGGCCGAGTGAGAATAGAGAGAGGAACCCAGAAACAGAGGAACGAAGATAGCAGGAGCAGGAGTCGTTCAATTCAGATTTAAAATGTTGCATCTTCCTGCTATCACGCTTCCTTGTGCCTCTCTAGAAAGGACCAATATCAACGTGAAAGAGATGGCAGAAACTGCCCATCTCTCTTTTAAATTCCGATAACAACAACAAATAATAAATAATAAAACAGGAATTAATTAAATAATCATTTAATCATAGGTCGATGATTCTTGTATAGACACAGATAACTTATTGCGCGTCTATACTATACATACGCGTCTCTGAACTATGGTGGCCCACTGATCAGACGTCTCTTTGTCTCTTTGGCTCTGATCACTCAATCATTGACTGTATCTCTTCAACTTAAAAACGAAGAAAAAAGAAGAAGAGTCGGTTGAATTTGCCAAGCGAAAAATAGTGAAAATAATTGGTGCATTACTGCATTGAGTCGACGGGTTTGGGATCAGCGGGCCACCATGGCTTGATCATGCATGAAGGATGAAGCAAAGTACTCAAGCTCTACACGCCAACGTTTACATTACGAAACAGGCTGGTAGTAGTTTTCTCCATTACTAGTCGTGGTGGGCCGTTGCTAGATTCCATTAAAATCATTTTTCTATTAACATTCTATTTCTTGCTGGGTTTCTGTGTTTGGTTGTCGAGGGGGAAGACAGCTCAAAAATTTCGTCGTACCCACCGAGAGAGAGAGAGGGGGGAAGGTGTGGCCTCAAATGTCGGTGAAGAGAAGAAGGCGTGATGGGAAAGTTGAGTTGATTGATTGGTTATTTCGGTTTTGTTTGTTAGGACTAGGAGTCTGGATTTGGGAATGCAAAAGAGGGCTGCCCAACTGAATTAAAAAAAAAAAAAAAAATCCAAAAACATGTTAAAGACAAATTGGATTTGTTTCCTTAACATTTGGGTTCTTGGTCTGGTTTTTGGGCTTTTTTTCTTCAATCAATCCAAAAATGACGCCGAAACGCAACTGGTTTGTAAACTGAAATTACCATTACCATTTGTCGCTTAGTCATGTTTTCCTTGTCAATTGGAAAACTTTCGTGATGTGTCATGCTTGTAGCATTACTATCACCCAGTAGCTTTCTCATTCTCACAACGAGTCTTGCCGAAATTTCCTCTTTTGACACTTTTGGGGAAGCTTGCTAAGTTGCTGTTGCTGCTGTTAATGCAACCCTCCTTTAAGATTTTGGGGAAATTGACGGTGGGCTAGATTAGAAATTAGAATGAATTGGTTGAGAGCTGAGCGAGCTTTAAATGTAGTCTGTACTGTAATTTCTTTGGGCAAGTAGGATCTGTTTAGACTTTAGAGATAATCAAGAGAGATGGACTGTTGTATGCACACATGTGAGATGTGATGGGATATTCAATATTGGGATGGGAATTGGGAGTATGACCCAATTAATTAAACTTAAAACCCATAAAGCTGAGAGATTTAATAAAGCAGAAACTTCATTACTTTTTTTTGGGTGGATCAGAAAAGACTCATTACTTATGTACCTTTATGCCCTATGGTCCACAAACAATATCAAGTGCTATGAAACAAAGACAGAGGCATAATGCTTGAATTGATGGGCCTGAAAAACTTTCTGGATCATGTTGGGTCATGCTTGGACCCCATCTCTCCTTTGGTTTACAGTATCAGTACCTTTCACCAAGCAGAAGCTTTTTTGACCGTCTGGTTATTGCACTAGTTTGGGAGATTTCCTTTTAATTAAGCTACAATGCAACTCACAAGACTTGAACACTCTCCCCCCCCCCCTCCAAATCCCCAATTCCTGTTTATCAAAATTAAAAGACAAAAAAAAAACAGTGGGTTTCACCCATTTACAGGGTCCAGAAAACCAATTGGGCACTAAAAATCAAATGCTTCTAATCAAGCTGGTGAGTGGTGAAAAAAAGAACACTGATGATCAGTCCATGAACATGTTTCTACAATGAGAGAGAGAGAGAGAGAGAGAGATTACCTTTCATTGCTAATTGAGTCTTTGAGAGGTAGATGAAATATAATAACTCCTTAATGAATGAGAAGGGAGAGTGGGGTCTGGGATATGTACAAGAGTGAAATGAGAAGTTGTATAAGTTGAAGCAGCAAAGCCGTAGCACCTTACGCCAAGTAAAGACAGTTGGGTACAGCACCCAAGTAGTTTCCGGAAGGAGATCTTAGCTCTACGTCCACATGGGACAGAAAACTGCCCGACACCGACACGCCAAGCGTCTGCTTTAGTGCCTTATGCTTATGGAGAAAGGATTTTTCTTTCTTTCTTTATTACATTACATATTGATACTTGGGGGAAGGGTCATCAATCCATCATCACGTTGGAGACTCAAAACTCAAAAGTGGCGAATTTTTGAGACAACCACTGATGAGTCGTCGCATGAGGCTCTCACGGTTTATTTAGGTTTGACCATTGCTGCATTTTATCATTCCTTCTTGTTATAACTGATATCAGAAGATTGGCTCCAGCCTATCGGGGGGTGGGGCAGAGCAGGTCTCAACAATTGGCTCATCGGCCTATATCCCCAATTTCATCAATTAGTATTTGGATTTTAGTGGACACAAGACATCACTCTTGATATAGCATAAGATAGTCGAGGGTCCGTTTGATTCATGGGAATAGGATCTGGAATTAGAATTTTATCAGTTTTGGTTGGATAGAATCAAAATCTGATTCCTATTGCTGATGAAATGATATTCTCCATTCCGAACCAAACAGGTGGAGGGAATAGGCCATTTCGGTTCCCATTCGGATTCCAACTATGAACTAGAGCTATGTTCTATTTGAAGGAAAAGGTAGGAAAAGGAAAGGAATGACAGGGAAACCTATACAAGGTTTGTAAAGATTTCCCTACCTTCCCCTACCTTTTCCTTCAAACCAAACATAGACTAAACAAACCCCAAGATCAAAACCTTCAGAATAACATTCGATAAAGCAACTTTAGGTTCTGATTTTGCGCATATATCCATTTTTTGATAAACCAGACACATCCATAGTGATTAGGGAACACTACGAAAGAAAAAAAAAAGTTTGTTTATAAATTATAATAATAAAAGTCAAAATAGGGATGTGCCCAAACAGTTTTCTCATATCCACTCCTAATTAATGTATACAATTTTCCCACAAGTCTAAGGGATCTAATATAGGTCTCACAAGTCACAAAACCCGCTCTCCCACCAAACAAACACTTTGGGTAATCCATGCGAAAGCCAGTGTAATCCATTGGAACTATATTGTGAGAACTGAGAAGGTTTTCAGTAGTATACATCTACAGACTTCTGATACTACAGCAAACTCTATAAGTTTATGACTTGGGGGTCGTCCCATGAACTAGTGCAACAACTCTCCATAAACAAATATACAAGCAAGGGAAGGGATAGGTGTAAGCATCCCACTGTAATTGGCAAAACATACAATGAGTTTTTTGCTTTCTCTTTGGCACAAAAACATAATGCTTGTTAGGGGTGCCTTCTTTCTATATCCCTCAAGTCCAAAATTGGATCTTTATGTTCATGTGGTTAGACGATATCCGTATCATCTCCAATGATGGACAGGGCAAAAGGAGCAACAGTAACATTGATTGATGTTGTATTTATTCGATCAATGTACTTCATTTCAAATTCACCTTCCTGCATTGAAATAGATGTATTAACATTTTGGTCAACAACAACAATAATAGTAGTACTATCGATAATGAGGACAAAAACATTAATCATCATCTAAGCCTTGTCCTAATTATATGGGTCTGCTACACACTTTCATCATCCTCATAATTTTGGTCAGTTTTTAAATGTCAAATTCAGGATTCTATAGGATAACTTCAGCAAAACCTGACCCTATAATCTGAAACTACATTTCTAATTCCAAGAAGCAGACCTAATCAATGATAATAAGAATAGAGCTATCTGCACGAGTACATTTGCACTAGGTGTAGAAAGTACTTGATTCCCTAAACAGAAGCTCCTATAGAATAAACTACTAGAGACTGAAAAAAGTCCCATGGATATGCTACTAAGGAGATTTTCGATCTTACCATTCTCCCTGTAGGGGTGCTTAGTGGACATGCAGAGGAATACTCAAAACCAGTCTTTGGAAGAATGGCAGGTTGTTCTCCTATGACACCAATTCCCCTGCCAGAAGAAAAACAGGAAATTTTCAAATTAAAATCATTTTCATCATATGCCCATAATAGAGTTATGCACCAAGAAGAGAATAATGAAGACAAAAGAAAATATTTCACATTGATAAATATGAGAGAGAGAGAGAGAGATCACCAGACATTCTCGGTTTTCCCATTGGCATCAGTAATGATCCAATGCCTTCTAAGAAGTTGAACAGGACGGTCTGAATTATTAGTAATTCTTATCCTGTATGCAAAAAAATACTGATCTTTTGAAGGCTGACTCCGCCCCTCAATATAGACACTCCTGACTTGAACTCTGATCCCCTTAAATACCAGAAAAGAAAACCTTTTTAATATAATTGAACCATTAAGTTTAATAAAAAGATGCAGAGTAAAAAGATTGCAATTATAAACTCATGAATCCAAGTATTTAGAAAAAAGCAAAGCAAGAAGGAAAACTAGTACATAAAACTTATTGAAAAATGAAGAATGATGATATCATGTGAATTTCAGTGGTTGGAAATATTAATATTAACATTTGCCTGTGAGTGAGAATTAAAGAGATATATAGCTTTTACTTTTTTTTTTATAAGTAATAACTTCTTTTATTAGAATAAGGATAAGAGCTAGTACAAACAACCCTTGGAAAGACATGAATTGCGACCTCTCCTATCAAATGAAAAAAACAGAATTCAAGCTACAGTTGTGCCAAAACAACAGTTCCCTAGCTGCCCCTTGCAAGGCTAGACAATCAGCCAAAGCATTTGCTGACCTCCCCACCCATTGTATTCGCATGCACATATTCCTTTTTTTTTTGTTCAATAACAAAACTTTTATTAATCAAACAGGATAATAAATTACAGAGGGGGAGATAAACTCTCTTAACTCCCCAGCAGAGGCAAGAACCCCCAAAGAGAGAAAAGCCAGAATTACAACTGAGCCCGAAATATAGATACCCTGACCACCCCTTGCTTGGCTAACCCATCAGCAAACAAGTAAGCAGACCTCTTCACCCAACTGAACTTTATTTCCATGTCTTTAACCAGCCATCTGAATTTTCTCCTTTCATTGTTGTAATTCCATAAACCACCATGTCTTCTTGCAGCCACCCTAGCACCACGTCTGAATCCCCTCATTGCAAGCCTTCTAATGTTCATATCCTTTGCTCTTTGGGCACCTCCCAAGACTGCAAAGATCTCAGCCCTGAGAGAGTCACCAACCCCAATTGGGCCCGAGAACAGAGATAAAACAGTCCCATTCAAATCCCTAAATACACCCCCAATGCCTGACTGCCCAGGATTCCCTCTACTACTACAATCAAAGTTCAGCTTTATAAATCCAGTGGGGGGAGGGGTCCAAGACAGACTTAGACCCGTTTTGACATGGGCACAGCTAGCAATCTCTCTCCATTTCCTCAGCAGATCATCCATAGTAAAACCTGTGAATAGGTCTGAGGATTTCAGCCACTGAACGACCCAAATGTGAATCAGCTCTATCAAATTTTCAAGTTTCAACACTTCTCTCTCTCTTTCAGAGAAAAGTCTTGAGTTCCTTGCTTCCCAAACTGACCAGCACACCACAGCCCTTGGGCATCTCCACATAATCCTACCCCTCTTCAAATGCCACCTAAAAAATGAAGAATAAAAGAGGTTCTGCACATTCATAGGGGGGTTCCACCCAAGCCCAAAGAGGGAAAAGGCCCATTCCCAAATAGTTTTGGTAAACCGGCAAGAAATCAAAAAGGTGAAAACCAGTCTCCCCATCAGCTTTACAGAGAATACACCTATGAGGGGATAAACATGTCTTGGGTCTCTTTCTTTGATGCAGATCAATAGTGTTGATTCTATTCAGAAATGATTCCAAACAAAAACTCCCAACCCTAGGAGGAATTGGCTTGCACCAGATCTCTTTAACAGGGAAAGATAAGCCTACGGGGTTGCCTGGCTTAGTCAAGGCTTTAAAGAAGGAGGCACAAGAGAAGGAACCTGAGGGGGTGGGGGTCCAAATTCTGGTGTCTTCCTTTGTTGGGTCCAAGATAACATTTTCAAGAATACCTAGGAGAGAAAAAGTGTTGTTCAAGTCTGTATCTCTAACAGCCCTTCTCAATCCTAGATTCCATCCAAACCCAAAATTTGAGGATGAAGGGACAATGAAAGAAGATAATGGGCTCATTTTTTAGGTCAGAGAGAGCATACAAAGATGGAAACTTGTCCTTCAATGGGGAATTCCCCACCCAAGTCTGTTCCCAAAATTTTATGAGGTTGCCTGAGTTTAAATCATACCTGATCAAAGGGGAAAAGACAGACAACAGGTCGTGGATGGCTTTCCAAGGTGAAGCACTTGTAGTCCTTGCCAGAATTTCAGCATCCCATCCATTGTCCTCCAGCCCATGAATGCTCACCACTATTTTAGCCCATAGCTCCTCTAAAGAGAACCTCCATAACCATTTCCCCTGTAAAGCCATATTCCTTTTTCTAATGTTCCCAATCCCTAAACCTCCTAACCTTGTGCTTCTAACAGCCACCTCCCACTCCACTCATGGTCTCTTCTCATCTCCCAGCTCCCACAGAAAGTCTCTCATCATCTTTTCCAAACTATTAGACACCTTTGCTAGAATCTTGAACACTGGTAAGAAGAAGATGGGTAAATTGGCTAGGGTAGCCCTAATTAGTATGATCCTCCTACCAGGAGAGAGTTTTTTTTCTAGGAAGCAAGTCTCTTCTCAAATCTTTCCACCACCGGATTCTAGAAACTACCTTTCTTAGTGTTGTCTCCTAAAGGTAAGCCTAGATAACTCAAGGGCCAACTTAATACTGCACATCCCAATAGCTCCACACATTCCATGATCTCCCCATCCTCCATGTCCACTCCCACTACACAACTCTTCTCAAAATTCACTTTAAGGTTGGACATCTGTTCAAAGAGTTGTATTACCATTTTCAAGTTCCTGATCCATCTCAAATTTCCACCTTCACAAAAAAGTATTGTGTCATTTGCAAATTGTAAGTGGGTAAGTGGGATCTCCTCCCTTCCTAACCTCCACCCCTTGAATATGCTCTATGAATCAATCGTCCCAGAACATCAGCAATCAAGGTAAACAAGAAGGGAGAGAGTGGATCTCCTTGTCTTATTCCCCTTATAGCTAGGATGAAGTCTACCACTGTCCCATTTACCAACATAGAGTAATGACAGTTTCTGACACAACCCATGATCCATTTACACCATCTTTCCCCAAACCCAAAATTACCCATCACTTCCTTCAAAAAGGACCAATCCACCAAATTATAAGTTTTTTCTAGGTCCAATTTGCACACCACCCCTTCTTTTTGACCTTTTTGAAATTTTACACACTCTCGTTGGTAATTAATATTTGGTCAGCTATCTGTCTACCCTTCACAAAAGCTCCCTAGTTAGGTGCAATAATATCAAGCATAACTTGCTTTAACCTTAGAGACAATACCTTTGCAATTATCTTATATAGAATGTTTACCAAACTTATTGGTCTGAAATCTTTTGGATGAGAGGCATCTTTCTTCTTTGGGATTAGAGCAATAAAGGTGGAGTTCATCCCAGGATTAATTACTCCCCTCCTATGAAATTCATCAAACACTAACATTAAATCCCTCTCCAAGATTTCCCAACAGTCTTGGTAAAAGGCCATTGTGAAACCATCTGGGCCTGGAGCTTTTGTTTTGTCCATAGAAAACACAACTTCCTTTATTTCCTCCACTTCAAACCTCCTTTCCAACCTCTGTCTATTTTCTGCCCCTAAATCTGGCCAATTCAACCCTTCTAACCACACCCTCCCATTTAATGGCCTTCTGAAAATGGATTTAAAGCACATATTCCTTGTTAGAAACTTGAACTTCTTAACCTCATTTCTGAAGCACCACACTACTGATTCTGGGTTTTGCAACCAGCTTATGACCACCTTGGAGTCCCCTTACTAGCAGTTTTCTAAAATTTAATTCTCAAAAAAAATTCTAAAATTTATTTTGGAATAGTTTTTGGTAAAGGTGCACATTGTTAATTATATCAGGTTGCATCAAGCATGACTGGATCTTTTTTGAAGCACAAGATCCATCTTTGAATGCAACTCATGCAACATAGGCAATTTTTCCAAAGTTGAGTTGTTTAGACAAGTGCAACTGGCCCATGAATCCCTTGTTTGGTGACATGGTTAAGGGTCCAAGAATGGTGCTATATGTTCACCCCTCCAACCTCTATTCATGGGATAAACTTTAGCTTAAAAACCCTTGCCAAATGTCCAAAACAGGCCCTTTTCTGGGACTGGAAACTTCTAAATCACTTAAAAAAAGAAATTTTGGATAGTTAATGAAAACTCTAATACAAGTCGGTTATATGGTTAACATGGACTGGGATGAGTAAATATGTGGCCAATCCGTAGGGTCTGCAGTCTACTATTAGATTGACAGTTTGGACTTTGGATCCAGAACATTCATGTACCAGAAATAAAATAGGTATATACATTATATACATATATACATCATCATCATCATGCGTCATGCCTTAACCCAATTAAAGGGGGTAGGCTATTATCACACGTATATACAATAAATACAATTACGTATCATATATTTGTATAAATTCCTTAAATATGCAGTTGGTCTCAGCTGGACATCTGTGTCTATTACATAGGAATCTTTCTTGGAAAGAGAAAAACACATGTTCATTAACCTACAGCTAGGAAATATAAGAACTCAATGCTTCTGTTTATTGAAACTTGAAAGTCAAATGGTCCATATTGATCCCACTAGTTTTCTAATTCAACAGGTTATCCCTACTATGTGTATAATATGCAAGCTGAGATTTTCTTAATGGTTTCCCTAAGGCTATGTTTGGTTTGAAGGAAAAGGTAGGGAAAGGAAGGGAAAGGCAAGGAAACCTATACAATATTTGTAAATGTTTCCTTACATTTCCCTTCCTTTCCCTACTTTTTCCTTCAAACCAAACACATCCTAAAAGCTTGATGTATGTGCATAGTCAAGGAGAAAGAAAGAACAGGTTCAACCTAGACCTAGAGAGTAGAGAAGTTGGGCCAGAAAGAAAAGAATGTATAGTGCCATTAGCAGCAGCAAACCCAGATGAAAAAGACCACAATAGATCAAGAAGTGATACATAACTTTTCTAAATTAGATACAATTTCCAAGTATATGGTGTTTTGCTGGTTCAACAAACTGTCAAATCTAATACAAACCTTAAAGAACAGATTGTCCAAAACATTTTCCTCTTCAAACAAACCAAATTTAAACAGAAAATCTAAACAGAAACATGGATAACTAATCAAACCAATGCTACAGGAAGCAGATGGTTGTCATACCAGAGTAGTTGCATCACTTGAACATTTAAGAAGTGTATGTGGAGCCAATAATTGTAATTCATCTCGATACCTAGCTGCATCCTGGAGAAAATACACCCAATAAGGCAGAAAAGTAGAAAAAATAGCACACAGGACAATTTTGGTCATATTGCTAAGAATAATGTCTTCAGATTTCAAAGTAGACTACTAATTTCAAAACTTTCTGTTTTATTCTCAAGGAAGAGATTCTTTTCCATAACGAATATGTTGGATCTCAAAATTGCTCAATGGGTAAACTTCAAGAATTAGGGATAAGAATCGGCTTATGATATATTTTTCTGATGGTTGAAGGATTGCTTATATGAAAATCTGCATTTCATTATGTTCTCCATAAATGTGAAATAGTGATGGATTCTTGATATTCCACTGCATGACTGATTTTTCCTGTTAAAGGGAAAAACTAGAACTAGTAAAAGAAGATAAGTCATTGTGAATCAAAACTAGTACCTCAAACCTCTCGTTAGCAACTGCCTCCTTCATCAATCTCCTAAGGCGCAATACAGGCTCCTCTTCTTCAAATGACCTCAATGAATCCCTAATTCTTGCAGCTTCTTTGTAATCCTACAATAACAACAAATACACAAATTAATGGCTTGATAAAAAAAAGGGTAATAAAGGACCCGTATGAAGAATCAGATCTGACTTGAAAATGAACCATTTTATATGTATTGTGTATACTAATAAAACTTCAAACCCTTCAATCCAAGAATAATATAAACTTAACTAATCCTGACCCACCATACACACGAATATGCAGAAATCAAGTAAACACAAACTAGTCTCTACATCAAAAGAGAAGCCTAAGTAGATGGATCACTTAGAAGAAGAAATAAAAGTGTGTGTGTGTGTGTGTGAGAGAGAGAGAGAGAGAGAGAGAGACTTCTGATTATAACTATAACTTTTTTCAAAAGTCCAAAAGCTCTCTAAATTATCGATCATTGATCTTATCAATAGCCCAAGACCATAAATCTTTTTGTTATGGCCTCCTCTAAATATCACCTAGACAGAACTAATGGGACCATAGGAACCTCATGGACCTTACATCTGAAAACCCAGTTTGCCCAAAGAAACTCCAAATTTCAAACCTGTTTTTTCTTCTTCCTCATCTGTATCAGAAAGTTACCTTTTTGCAATGTGGTATTCCATATCATTTGTGGACATCAAGACATCGAAGAATGAGAACTTCATACTTCATACACAAGAAGTTCATACTTTTCCTGAAGCGAGAAAGCTTCAATGAGTCTCTCTCTTTCTTTACAATTCTCTGACAAACTACAATACCTGAGTTACTCTCTGCAACAGTGTCCACCCTTCAAAAGATTTTATTAATTCAGCATCAATAGTGCTCCAATTAACATTCTCCATTGCATGAAATAGTGATAGTGATTCCAATGGTGGGTGGTAGATATGCAAATGATCTAGCTGATCATTTGAGGAGTGTGGTGAGTAGAAGATGTACTAAGGCCCTGCCCTACCAGGTTAATTTCTTGTTTTTCGCATTCTTGGGATGTTTGGAGGCTGTTTTTATCCAGATCATGGGTTTCTCTTTGCCTTCTTGTTTTCATGCTCGTGTCTTGGCAAGAAAATGCATCTATTCCAGAGGTTTCACATTATAAAAGAGAAACCAGCGACCTTCAGAACCCACTGAATCTTAGCAGGACTCAAGGTCAATAAGAAGCAGGAAATTAAGGTACAAACCATATCAAATGCAAAGTTGTTGTGATTTGACATTGTTTAGATCATCTCTTCCTTATTCCTATTTTCAGGGGAAAAAACTCTTCTTTCTTCTCCTCCTTTTTTTGTAAATGTATAATATAGAAACACAGCCAAAATGCAACAACCCATAAAGAAGGAACTTAACAACTGGCATTTAAAAAAAAAAAAAAACAACAACTGTTTACACTTGGGATCGAATCCCGCCTACACCAGGGTTTGGGGGGTGGGGAGTTATGACCTTTGGGGGATGGACTACCGGCCTACCTCCCGGTTGTGTAGCCCTATGGGGCAAAAAACATATTGGCATCAAAATGACAATTTAAGGGGAAAAAGGGATAAAATAATGGCAAAAGTTTCGGGGGGAAGGGGGATTAAACCGTCAAAGTGAAACAGAACGGAACAACAAAATCGAGGGAAGAAAATGCAGCTATTTTGTGTCCTCGAATTCCTCAGTAGGAAAGAAATAGAAATTTTGAATTTTGGCACAAGTATCAGCAGGCATGTATGAGGATGGCATGCACTGTAAAGAACAAGATGATAAGTAATTTAGATAACGAGGTCGCAGAACGCACTGAAAGGGGAGAATTGCATCTATAAGAATTAGTTTGAAACAGAGTTTCGTGAACCATTACTAGAGCGCAAAAGGAAAGGAATAAAAATGGTGAAAACTACCCAACGTCCAAACTAGCAAGAGCTAATCCAGATCAAAATATATTCAAAGAATCCATGGACCAAGCACTAGAATCGTCAAATATCAATACATAAAGAAAAGGATGCAACCTTTTCATGGAATTTAAACATTTATTCCAACAAAAAAAAAAAAAAGAAAGCATGGGTGTGGAAATACCCACCTCGGATTTCGCTGCGACTTCCATCTGCTGCTTCAAAAAGGCATAGGTTTGACTACGGGAAACAAAAGAACTAGTGGTCTCACTTGCTTTTCCGCTTCCACTGTTCTCGGAGGATGAAGCAATGATCTTACATGTTCTTGGAATATCTCTACAATTCCGTTGGCCACCCGGCCAAGGTCTCCTCGTTCCTGTGTTAAATCCTGTGAAAAGTTTTAAGCTCAGGGAATGCATTTCCTTCTTGTTTCTTCTTTTGCTGCGAGCTCCTCCTCCTCCTCCTTCTTCCTTGCCGTCGTTTATTAAGATTGCTCGGCTCTCCTCTACTCGATCAAATACATCGATCGAAACTCCAAAGCAAAAAAATCCAAAGAAGAGAATGTCATTAAAATGGTGGGTGAGAAGCTCAATAAACGGCTCCTACTTTGCAGGTTTTTTCGCGGTGTGCCATTATTTATTTGTTTTCGGAATTTATCTCTATCCAAAAAACCAATAAAAAAAGGGAAAAGAAAAGAAAATCTATATCGAGGATTTGCATTTTCGTTCACCCAAAAAGTCTGAAATACCCTTATTGGTCGTCACTCGTCAACAGTCAGCCATAATGATTATACATATTTTTTTACATAAAAGTAAATATACCATTTGGGGACTTAATTCAACAGTAACTATAAGATATAATCGTAAGTGAACACTGAACACTACATTTTAACTGTAATTTGTGTTACCTAAATTTGCCGCTTTTATTTTTCCTGATTTTGTATCGGCGACATGAGCCACCCACATCAGACACCAGATCTTTATTAGGGGTTATGGTGAAATTATATGACACGTGTTTGTTGGAGATACAGGTCAACTGATTTTTTCTAAACCGATGACGTATTCATGTTTTATTGGGCGGTCGACAATAATACACATGATTTTGCTGTGGTCTGATGAGAGTGGTGACAACACATTTGAGCTCTGCTAGACTGCCACTGCTTAGTGGTTTGGAGTCCGGATTTGCTTCTCACGAACCGCACCTCACACCAACCGCATGTTTATTACTCATGGGAGCTATTGTCATTTCTCAATACAAAGTGGGATGTGATTATGAGATTCCTGTAAGGTGCGTTAATTAGAGCATATCCCAATTCAGTGGTTAGTGCGTACGTTGTCAATATGTAGTACTGCATAGTAGATAGGAAACAACAAGGTAGACATGTAATGTCACTGCCACTTTGGATCTGCTACCACAAATTGTTTTCATGTATCTCTACCTATCGCTATTTATTGGGAACATGAACATCTCCCCTGAATGATAATGGAGATATTCTCAACCCACAACTTTAATGTACCGTAGGTAAGGATGTTGGAACAATTCATGGGCAACACATCTAAGCCCATGTTGTGTTGTCACGACACGGATCGTAGCCGGCCCAAATGCCATTTGTGTCATGTCAGATCGGGCTTCGGGCCTTGGCGGGCTGTGCTTGGGCAGCATAGTCCCCCTTTCAGGTCAAGCCCGACACGGCCTATGACTTGGTTCCCAACCCAGTCAGGTTGGGCTTAAGGAACTAGGTCATGGTAGGCCATGCCTACTTTATTTCTTTTACAATTTTACAATTTTCATCTTTTCCTAAACTAAGGAAACTTAGAAATAAATAAATAAAAGACATATAATGGGAAATTAACATGAATAGTAATAGACAGTAAGGCTCAGCTTGGAAGGAGTATAAATACAAATTTGTAGAGTATAAAACATTATATTTTATATTATTTTGTATGTATTTGTATTGTATATATTTATATTTGTATTCCTTCCAAACTGAGCCTAAGGTGGACAAAAATGTCATTTCAAATCTAATGTATATAAAAAAAAGCTTGAAAAAAATAGGGAAAATTCCACTTTAATACCCTAAACTTTGGGGGTAGTACCCGAACTTTCAAACATTTTACTACAATGCTTACACTTTCAATAAGTGTCAACTTGGTCCATGATGTTAACCAACCGTTAGTTATTTGTTGAAAATGTCATAACTACCCTTCAAAATAATACATTATTCATTTTCTTTTACGTTGAGACCGAATCGATTATCTTCAAAGAAAAGAGAGAGAAAAAAACATGAAATATGATAGAGGGAAACAACAACTGAAAGCAAAGAAATAACTAGACAATAATGTGTTTCAGATCTAAAGGTAAAAGACAATGACTTCATTAGTCTAGAATCTCAAACACCTCAATCGGTTTAGTCTCAAGGTAGAAGACAATGAACAATGTATTTTTTTTTAGGGTAGTTTTGACATTTTCAATAGATAATTGACGATCGATTAACAGTAGGGGCCAACTTGACACTTTTTGAAAGTTTAGGTACTACAATGACATGTTTGAAAGTTTGAGTACTAACTTGACACTACCCCCAAAGTTCATGGCACTAAAGTGGAATTTTCCCCAAAAAATAAATACAATATAGCTTATCATTCAAGCAGCTATCCTCCTCTTCCCTATTTTAAATGAGATGCCACGTGTCTAAACAAATGGCTAGTGCCACCACTACTTTGGCAACTAAAATAATGTCTGCATTTTTTTTTTTTTTTTGCAAATTGCTCTTTCTCCCCCTTTTTCTAGGAAATTCCGCAATCTCAAACCTAGTATTATTGGATTGAGCTTCATCAACAAAAGGAAAAGGATTTTGGGAAAAACCACCAATGTAGAGAGTAATAGAGTATGAGAATATGTAAGAGAATATGAGAGTTGTTGTGGTGTGAATAAGGGAGGATATGGGTATTTATATGAATTGAGGGGTTAATTTGATCAAAATACCCTCCAACCTAAACTAGTTATAGTTGTTGAAAGGAATATTTTGGTCATTTTCAGAGGTTGTATGTTATTTGACTTAAATACCCCTAAAGGGCCTAAACTAGTTATATAGTAGTTAGGGCATGGGGGCATTTAAGTCATTTTTGACATCCCCAATGATCTAAAATACATAACTAACCCCAAGTGGCAACTTATAGCTATTAGTAGGGGTGTCAATGGTATTCAAGAATCCAATTTCAAATTTGAGATTCGACATAATCAAATCGAATTTGGATAATTCGAATATTCAATAGGTCTAATTCATATATCTTATTAATATTAAACAGTTAATCGGATTTGAATTCGGATATGAGTTGATTCGATTCAATAATATCTGAATTCAACCGATTATTTAATTCTTATATATTATATATAAAATATTTAAATATTTTATATAATACATATGTATAATAATTAAATTCTATAAAAATAATTTATATATTTATATGCTTTATATAAAAAATATTTATTAATTACCTAAAATAATTAATCGGTTGAATTTGAGTTAAATCGAATATTCGAATATTTAATCAAATTCGAATGTCGGATTTTTTAATTGAGTTTGAATATTAATTTTCAATATTAGTTGGATATTGAATTGAATCTGAATATCAAATTCGAATTCAGATATTGCCTAATTCAATTCAAATTCTATCCGTTTACACCCCTAGGTATTAGAGGGTATTTTGACTAGAATACCCAAAAAAGCAAATATAGCTATTGGGCCCTTCCAACATATGCCACACACATCTCTCAAGAGCACTTGGAGGCATAAATTTGAAACACCACCCAACTGGTAAATTATCATTCAAAGGGAGATGTTTCAATGAAAGGCTGTAACTAGGGGTGCAAGTCGGGTTGGCCCGAGTTAACGGGTTACATTGTTTTGGGCTCGGGTTTTGAATTGGGCCTATTGAAATTTTGACAAAATCCCAACCTTAATCTGGAAAAGTTACACCCTAACTGCAAACAAGTTCAACTTCAGTCCCCTTGCAACCTAGGCCTGATGCCTGGGAGGCTTGGTAATTAGACCTATTCACGGGCCGGGCTTTGGGCCAAGTTCATTCAAAATTTGGCAAAAGTCCAGTTCAAACCCGGCCATAAACAGGTCTATATTGGTAATGCACTTGTACCTGTACTCTTTTACGAGAGCTCTGAACTATTGAACTTGTTCTTTCTTCTGTCCGTTAATCCAAAACAAAAACAAAGGTGATGTCAAACAAATGAGTTCGGATTTGCACATCACAAAGTGCGCCTTGCACCAACCTCACAACCAATTTGGAGCCATAAATTTGAAACATCTCCCTACTCCATTGCCTGCAAAGAGTTTCAGTACTACAAGCCCATACACACAATGTCAAACATTACCTTGCAACCTTGGCATTGGAAATATTTTCCATGAAATAAAGCACATAAATACCAAGATATTTTCAATGAAAGCTATAAAGGATGTTTTAAGGTGTGACTGTGAGCTACTCTCTGTGAGAAGTGAAGGTTTGGCGTATCTAATTGGACGCTTCATCGTTTTAATCAAACCTGTACGGGAGTCACTTCATTTTCCCTAGTATGATAGGTCCCCTGAAATAGGTCAAACCCCAAAACTAATACAAAAGTAACGCATCGACCATTTTCTAAGTTATAGATAACCGGGCTGACCCGATTATAGATAAAATCAATATTGTATATTTTTTAATATGAAAAAAAAGGAAAACTCTCATTTTCTAAGTTAAAATATTTTTATATTGAAAATTTTCTTTTTTAATAATATCATTACATTTCTTTCAAATTTAAATTTAACCTTAAAATTTAAATATTTTGAACAAACCAATCAAACAAAAAACTGACTCAAATCAATACAACCCGAATTGGTTGATTTATACCATTGGTCAATCGGTTTTTGACGACCAACTCCTAAACCTGATCAAATAAATTCGATTGACTAAACAATTTGGAACCAAACCAAACCGTCCCATGAACACTCCCACTGGGATTTACCCCTCACATAACACATCTTACACCTAATTACGGGAGATGTTCCCGATACATGATGGGATGTGCCGAGCGCTGTGTGAGGAGCAGATCTAGGGCTACAATTGGGCTGGGCCAATTTTGGGTTGAGTTGAAGGCTTGAAGCATCGGATAACATGATTTTGGCCCGACCCAAATTGAGCCCAAGCCCAAGCCTAGTTGTATTTGGTTAAGCATGTGTTGGGCCAAAAGAAATGGATGCTCAACGTGATATCTCAATTATGTGCGACCCGACTTATACTCATCTGAGGGTTCCCTGTCATCAGACGGCTCTGCACCTACAGATGGATAGATGACGGGGGACGCGGACGGATGACCAAGCATACGCCCAAGATCAGGAACGCGAGCCCTAACCCTAGAAAAGGCTGATATAAAAGGCCAATATTCCGCCAAATCAATCTTCCAATAGTTCGCTGGTTGCTTCTCCTTCGTCARTCCGTCTTGCTCGATCTGCAGCCATGCAGATCTTCGTAAAAACCCTAACTGGGAAAACCATAACCCTAGAGGTTGAGTCCTCAGACACCATCGACAATGTGAAGGCGAAGATCCAGGACAAAGAGGGCATCCCTCCCGATCAGCAACGCCTTATCTTCGCGGGAAAGCAGCTTGAGGACGGCCGAACCCTGGCCGATTACAATATCCAGAAAGAATCGACGCTTCATCTGGTTCTTCGTCTCAGAGGAGGAGCGAAGAAGCGAAAGAAGAAGACCTATACCAAGCCCAAGAAGATCAAGCACAAGAAGAAGAAGGTCAAGCTTGCTCTCTTGCAGTTCTACAAGGTTGACGACTCCGGGAAGGTTCAGAGGCTGAGGAAGGAGTGTCCGAATCAGGAGTGCGGAGCTGGGACATTCATGGCCAACCATTTTGATCGCCATTACTGTGGAAAGTGTGGCTTGACCTACGTTTATCAGAAGGCCGGAGGGGATTAATTTTGTTCGTGGTAGGACTGTGGATCCTTTAGCCTATTTTATGAAATTATGCCTTTTTTTTTAAGTTGGAATTTTGGTTATTAGAGAAGAGTACATTCTAGAATTTTGCTTAGCATTGCTGTTTTGATAGATCTCTGACATCTGATGATGAATTTGAATGGTTTAATCGCAAAATTTTAGACATTTATATGGGCTTATATTTTGATCCTGATAAGTTGGGAGAAATCGTTATTTTCCTGTTTTTTGCTGATAAAATATTTGCACGGTTATCATTCTTCTATTTTTTTTTGAATACTGGAATAGGTTGTGTGGATATTGATAAATATAAATTCTTAATGATACATTGATCTAGCAAGAGTTTGCCCAAAATTCCAAGTGCTTGAGATGTGGATTTTTTGGACATTAATTTCAATTGAAACCGTTGCAATATGAAACCATTTTAAGATTCCAAGAATTAAGTTTGCCTCTGAAAACCAAAGAGTGAATCATATGCTAACAAGTCCGTCTTAATATGTCTTGGTCATTCATCAGAGGGTTCTGCTAGTAAAAAACACGGACTGTAATCGCTGACTTGACAATAAGAGTTCACATTACCAATGAAAAAATAGTCATCATCACAATCGAAGAAGTTTTATCGTTGAAATTCTTAGTCTTTGCCTCTTTGGAGTTAACAAGTGAAATCAATCATGTATAATTGTCTCTTGCTTGTTTTTCTTAATTTTGTGTTGTTGCTTCTGCTGAAGTTTAGATTTCTATTACTGGCACGGATGCTTATGTAAGTGTGATACATACTACTTGACCACCGCCTGATAAAGAAGCAACTGTTTTTCTTTATGGAGCCAGATGTTAATATTCATGAATGTCTTCTTGCACATGTTTTCACTCCTAATACTGTGATAGTACCACGATAAGTTGGTAGTTGTTTTGCTTGTTTAGAATTAGAATATTCAACGTGTGAACTCTCAGATTCTTAAATAGTATCAAATTGGCTTCTCAGATTCTTAGCTTTGACAACCATGGATTGCTTCACAAAGTTTCTTATCATCGACCTGCAAGTTTCTAGGACGGGTGTCTCTGTGTGGTTCATGCTTTATTTTGCCTTGTTTTGATATTGCCTTTCTTGTTGGGATGGGAACTAACTAGTTCTGCTTACACAAGTACTTTCTGATTGTGTATGCAAAATTACGAGGGTGAGGCAGGTGGATGTCTGAAACTGCTACTGAACCACACATTATTTGAAAATTGAAATATAATTACCATCTTTGCTCATGAATGGTGCCAAAACCAGGCATGGGAAATGCTTTGATTAGGTGGTACTGTGTATGTAAAATTGTCTAGTGTCAATGAAATAATACAAGGGTTGTAACCTGTTTGGGAAGTTGGACCCTTGCCAGGATACAGGACTGTGTGTAGGAAGTTGTATCTACCATCCCAAAATGCCAGTACAATATGTTTGGACCCAATGGACTTTTTCTTTGTACTCTGAAGTGGGTATTGAAGTTGATCTTCATGGAGAAACATTCGGTTTCACAGAATGAGTTCGTTCCTGCGACAGTGTTGAGATTGATGAGAAACTTGACATGGTGGTCCATGTTGCATTCATAATTGAAGGAGCTAATGGTACGGCGACCAAATGCTGTTGTAGTTAAAATTTTTCCATGCCCAGAAAGTCACAATGATGTCTAGAGTAAATCGTGATAAACCGTGTGATAGCTATAGACGCCACTCCCATATTATTCGACTAGCATTTTAAGATTCCAAGAAGGTTATGTTTTTGATGTTGCCATGGATTGTCTACAATGCCAATGTTGGTGTTAAACACAAATTTGATACCTGACGATTTATTTCTAACGGCAAATTAGAAGTCTGAAGCTTACTGGTTTCGCTTGCAATACATGAATCTGTTACTGGGAGATGATGGCACTTCTAAGTTCTAATTGTGAGTCATTTTCCAAATAGAGATAGGCCTCTTTGTTGAAATGTTATTTGGGTGTTTACAATGGCCTCTATACACAACTTTGAAAGCTGGGACTAATACATTGATATTGGTGGTGGGGGGTATTTGATTCCCTTTAGATTTATACTTTTTATACTTGTATCCAAGGTTCCAAGCATTAAAACATCCTGCTACCTGAAGATGGGTATCTGTGTATATTGATATTAGTAGTGATAATCAAATTTTATTTTTTATTTTTTATTTTATTTTATAAGGATTATAAGGATGAGATTTATATCATCCAAAGGTTTTAAAACTTTTGAGGGCCCGATCATTTTTGGATTTTGAGAGGGGAAAGTTAACCAAGATGCCCATGTTTTATTTTCAGATTATTGTGGTTCATGGGTAAGTAACATTCCCACCTGGGGGTAGGGGTGTCAATTGGATTGGTCCAATCCGGTCCAGTCCAATGTGAGTCCATTACAAATGAACCTGGTCTAATCTATTTTGGACCATTTTGAACTGGTCCAGAGACTGTCCAATCTGTTCAAATTCCTGTTAATTTTGATTGGTTTCAATTCAAACCTGGTCCATTGACACCTATGTTTTTGTCTTCTATCAATGGACCAGATATTGGTTCAATCCAATATAAGTTCATTATGGATGGATTAGGTCCAATCCAATGTCATATTGACCCATCCAGTCTGTCCAAATTCAATATGTCTTATTGGTCTGTCCAAATGGATTTTGATTTGGATGGAGTCCAACCCAAAACCTGTCCATTGACACCCCCTACCTGGTGGAAGTTGCCAACACACCAGATACAATTGTTTTTTTTTTTTAATAATATCTTTTTATGGTTAAAACGGTCATTGTCTTATTTACCTGAGAAATAAAAGAGTGCATTTATCTGGATAAGCATTTCTTATGAAACATTTACACCAGTTAAGTGCATTTACTGGATAATTAACTCCCTAAAAACAAAACAAAACAGGGCCTAAAAGATGTATTGGTGTATCTGTCCTAATCTGGGTATGTATGCAGTACCCCCTTAATCCTTGCGCATATTAACTGACCATCAATCTATAAAATAGCTTGGATGAGTACAATTTAATAAAATCAGGCTAATCGTGGCGAAGAAGGTGCGTGTTTGGTGCCAGCCCGTGTGAAATCATATTTTGGTGATGAGGATAATTGGATGGATATTTTTGTTATTGTACAAAACTACATCATATTTTGGCGATGAGGATAATTGGATGATATTTTTATTATTGTACAAAACTACAAATGAATGAAATATATTAAATGAAACCGAAAATTTTCCTTATGGAGGTAATGTTTGAAACATTATGTCAAATATGGTACTCAAAAAAAAAACAAAAGCACAATATAGAAACATAAGAATGACAAAGGGGGTGGGGTGTGTTATTTTCAGGCAGGCCGGAGTCTGGATGACATAGTTGTAGGCACAGTGAGGTGGTGTGTTAGGTAACTGCTGACATACAAGTTGAAAACAAAATGCTGAAACGATTTTAAATTTAAAAATTTGCAATTCAGTCTATTTCAGCAACTTGTGACCTAATTAATTGCTGAATCCTAATTTTTAGTATTGGCAATTAGGTAACTGCCTTACTTTCATTTCATTCGTCATACTAAATATGTAGCAAACAGGGTTGGGCTACGCAATGTATTTACCTTTCATTTTCATTCCGTGTAACAATCATGTGTTCTGTTTCTTCAGTAATTAGTTAATTACTCTTATATTTAAGGTAAATGTAAATTTGAATTTTAGTGTTTAATTACAATTCTCATTAATTCTATTAATTAATGATTCTCTTTTTCATTAATTTCATTTTATTAGTGTAAAAACTACAAATATTAGATTTTAATGCCCATAATTTCGTCACTAAGCCATTCCGATTTATTTGTTGTAATTATTTGCATTTTTAGTTTTAAGTCAATTTTCTCTTTTCTTAGTGGTGCTTATTAATAAATGCTGAAATTAATTATTAAAATTTATAAATATTAAGATAACTATATTGGTTATTTGAAAATTGATGTATATATATATATATTCACATTTTAGTTATTCTATCATTTTTCAACGGTTACTAATTATATCTCAATATGTCACATTTTATATAAACATTAAATTATGGTTTTTTACATTTAAATGACTTATTTACAATCATATAAAATTTGTAAGTATTGTTAATAATAAATTTTTATGATTTATTTGAATTTTCTATTATATTTATGTGAATTTTAATTTTTCATCTATATCTATGTGTATCCAAAACGTATCTCAATACGTCTCTTAAAATTATCTTTCTAATACTTTAAATCTTGATTTAAACCGTTTTTAAGTTTAGAATAAAATGCTTCTCACATTTTGCTTTCAAAACCAATTTCAGCAATTATAAGAACGGCTCTTGGTGAACCTTCTGAAGTTCTGAGCCCTATTCTTTGAGAATGATTGAAGAAGGTGGGGCTGCTGTCTACGTCTGAACCCAGCCCGACAATTTTTACACTCTCTCTCGAGTCTTTTCTATGTCTCAGCTCTTACATGAGGTCTACCTCTTTCGTTTTCAAATTATCATCATTGTAACCGGTGAAATGTGGGATGTCTTGGGCTTGGGGACCTATGATGCATGGTTTTTATTTCAATAAAGGTTGGAAGATTAGGACCCACCACTCAATGGATCATAGCTAGAGAAGCATTATTTTTATTTCAATAAAGCTTGGGCTTTCTTCCTCCAATGCCCCAGATAACCATTCGAATTTGTGACTTAAAAATTAGGGGTTATTGCTCTCTGGAACTGTAATAGTAGAAGTTCGGGTTGAAAAGTGTGAATCACAGGTTCTAACATAAGAGCATCTACTTAGTGCCCCCCAAAAAAACACGTAGGATGGTCACCCAAGACCTCAGATGTAGGGGTGTCAATTAACCGGTTTTGGATTGAATCTAATCTGATTCAAACCTTATCAAATCAGATTTGGATGGTTCATTATAATTATTGGGTTGGGTTAATACAAAATAAATTGATTCATATTCTTATAGGTCTGAATTAGACCTAAACCAAATTTTCGATGCCAAACCCTTGCCCAATTTGAAATCGATCAAAACTGAAATCGACATAAAATCGCTTTTTATAAACGTACTTTTATAAAAACACCTTTACAAAAGTACTTTTGCAAAAATACCTTTATAAAAGTATTTTTATGAAAACACTTTTACAGAAACAGATTTATAAAGGCACTTTTACGAAGACGCTTTTACAAAAGCACCTTTATAAAAGTACTTTTATATGAAAGCACTTTTATGGAAGTATTTTTATAAAAACATTTTTATGGAAATACTTTTACAAAAGTACTTTTATGGAAGCACTTTTATAAAAATACTTTTACAAAAGCACTTTTATGATAACTCTTTTACAAAAGCACTTTAATGAAAGTACTATTATAAAAGTACTTTTATGAAAGCATTTCTATAAAAGCACTTTTATAAAAATATTTTTACAAAAACACTCATACGAAAGTACTTTTACAAAAGTGCTTTTTCAATGACAAAAGGGTATATTTTTGTAATTTTCAGATTTTCTTCATTTTAATATATTTTTTGTAATTTTTTATATGTTCTGTTTTTTTATATAATTTTTAATATTTCATTTGTTTTGGATTGGATCCAATCCAATCCATTTACATTTTAATAGATTGGATTAGATTTGGACTGGATTGGGTCTAGTCCATTTATAAGTGGATTCACATTGGACTAAATCAGATTGGACCAAATCCAGTCCAATTGACACCTCTACTCAGACGGTTGGGAGGGATATTGGGTAATGAAGCCAAATTTTCTGTAGACCCAATGAATGAATGCCATCTATTCTTTTCATAAGTGGTGGTGTTCCCACTTCCCATGTATGCCTTAACACAGCCCACGGTGGCACGGTTACTTTAAATCTCTAATACCAATATTTATTTACTTTTATTGTTTATGTTTTAATTTATTTAGCCCATAATTCATGAACCCAAAAATTGCACGCTATTTCATTCCTTTCTATTTTCACTCTTCCTCTTTTCCTCACCCTCTCTTCCTTCCTAAACCCTAATCTGCTGGTTTTCAACCTTAAAAGGATCATCATACTCCAAACTCTAATATAGATGTTTGTCATTGTATAAGCCATTGTACTGCTTCCACTGGCTTTTTGAAATTGTGTGAATGCTGAAAGCCCGCTGGCAAGTTAGGCCTAGGAAGAATGTTTTTAATGTGGTGGGGATAGAACTTGGAGGACACGTCCCACCATGGGTTCTAGATCTCCTGCTCACGTCCACCCACAACACACTACCCCTGTGAATTGGGAACATCTCCCCCTAGATGAATGTTCTCCATGTGTGACTGCGATGTTATATGGATAGACATGGACAGAGTTTGTGCAGGAGATCCAGACTCCCCCCCTCCCCTATGGCCCAAAAATCCCTACTTTTGCATGTGTATTTTTCCCCTCCCCTAATGGTTGGCCCCCCTAATGGCCATCTATATTTACTCCCCCCCACCCAAATTCACTTTAGGTTTAACCCCTAATGATCATCCGTATTTACTCTCCCCCAATCCACTTTAGGTTCTCCCCCAATGGCCACCTATATTTACTCTCTCTCTCCCAATCCACTTTATGTTTTGCCCCCTCATAAGAAATTCCTGCGTCCTAGAGAAGCAGCCAAAAAAAAAATGATACAGATATTACATATGAAGTTCATATGTTGTCTATTCATCCAATCAAGAATGACTTTGGTCCACATGGCATGGTTACATGATTTATGTACATACATAGACCAATTAAAGCTGTGTCTATAAGAGATTTTCTTATAATTTCTAAGCTTCAAAATGTAATCCAGAATCCGCACGAAATTCCAATTCAACAAAAGCGGTTGTCCCCGAAAATATGTCAAGCTGTACTTCCACCAGATATGGATGAACCGGCTTGTGGTTGTGGAATTGGTTCAACATTCTAATTGACACCAATTCACTGGTTGCTGCCTCCGAGTTTGCTCGTTTTGCCAGTAATGGATCTGGGTTCGACCCATCAATCAAGCCCAGATAGTATCATTTTCGTGTATGACATTTGTGACCCATTGGTGGGGCCACAAATTGGCCTGTATCATCATCTGCCGACAGGGAGTTGGAACGTCCACCTATCTTCTCACATAATAATTATCTCTACCAATGCAACCATGGAATTCTACTAGTACTGAAGAAAACGTCTCCTTACAAATAGTCACAAAGCTAATTCTTCTTTCTGTTTGACAAAATCAGAAAGAAATAGAAATAGAGATAACCCTTCTGGGTTAACATCCTACTTAAGTAGTTAAGTGGTTGGTTAAGTTTGATTCAGGCGGTCTGTCATAAGACCTCACCTTTCACTTTTAAATAAATTCCAATCAAAKGCCATGTGCACGTCATCCTCAACATTGTCCAATTTATCTGGAATTGAGCTTTCAATTTCATCATGGGTCAGAACGATTTTGAAACAATTGATGATGGCTGATCTGATAACCATAATATGTGACACTGGATCTTTTGCCCACGAAAATTCTGTCCACGCTTACCTATAATATATCATTCCGTGAATTGGGAACATCTACCCTTGCATAATACTATGTAGAGGATGAAATATTCTCCATGTGTGACTGTGATAAATGTGAACAAGAAATTTAATTTGGACTCATGATATGTATATAAAAAAGAAAAGAAAATGATCTGATTTGAGTACGTGTCGCCTATGGATGGTGAGGGAGTGTTAGACTTCCACGTGCATCGACAGAGGGGGCCAATATGAGATGTGATGGGATTTGGGGGTGGCCCATAACAGATGGAAATGGGATTTGGGGGTGGCCCAAGCGACCATGCAGCACTCATCATGCCTACGTGGACTACTGGGTTGAATGCCCACGTGAGATCACATGGGGTGAGTTGTGAACAGAAATTAGCAGCAACAGTGCGTGTATGTATCTGGTAAGGAAGTAGGTGATTGGTTTCAAGTAAGAGCTTAAATGCAAGTGGAGATGGATGGATTGGGCCTTGGGAATGGCAAAAATGTGAAACAGAGGGGAGTAAAGCCCACAAAGTGGGGGTGGGAGAGAGAGGAGTCAGGGGTCAATTTAATTAACTCTCATTCAGGAAAGACAAATCCTAAGATGCCCACTTTCCCTCTCCAGATGCCCTTCTAGAAACTTCCACTGCCCTCTATTTGGGAAAAATTACTGCAACTTCACTTTCACTCACACTCACTCTTCTTTCTTCTAAGAGAGAGAGAGAGAGTCAGTCTATTCATTATCTTGTCTGAGAATGGACAAATGAAAGAAAATATAAAAAAAAGAAAACGGAACCCATATGAGCATGCAAGAAGGCTAAGGGAGATGATGTTCCCTTTGGTGATGGCAGAGGGCACAAAGAGATAGGAGAGTTAATAAGGAGAAAGCAACGGATGTTACAAATGAGAAACACCAAGCTCTGGTCCTTGTCTTCCCCATAAAACCCTGCACTTCTGCAACCTCAGACAGGTAAAGCTCCCCCCATGTGTTTCTGAATGTTTTGAGTGTGGTTTTCTTAAGTCTTCTTCTGTTATGTTGGTTTAATTGGGACTTTGGGAGAGGAGCAGCAGCTAGTACTCTTTACTAGAATTAATTAATGTGTAGAAGAAAACCCATGACTCCATGAGCTTGTTATTAATATAATTGGGCGATCTAACTGCACACCACAGAGCGCAGACTCACCCAAACTATTCACAGGTTTTTTCACATTAGAACTACATCAATGGTTCCAAGAAGGCTGTTTTGGTAATTTAAAACATTCTGAACGACTCCACCTTCATGCCTCTGCAGTTAATCAATCAAATTCATCTTTTTTAACCAAACAAAGCCAATAAGGATAAGCACATGGATACCTACCTGCTTTAATTCATCTAATTCTTATTATAAATAATGGTCTTTCTTCCTTTGTTCCAGAGTCAAGCAACACACAAACCCAGCAGCAAGAAACCCTGGCCTCCTCTGGGTTCTTTGATTCTTTTTCTCTTCGCACTCTCGGCCCCCCCTCCCGATCTTTGCTTCCCATTCTTGTCCGACCCTCAAAGAAGATGTCTGCTGCATGCAATCATCTCCAAGAGCAGATTTGCTACGTGCAGTGCGGATTCTGCGACACCATTCTTCTGGTAAGTCACTGTGTTGCAGTCGACGCTAGAGCTTCGGTTGAAGATTACTTCTTCATTATTCTCTGGTAAGTGCAGGTTAGTGTCCCATGTAGCAGCTTGCTGAAGGTGGTCACTGTTAGATGCGGCCATTGTACAGGCCTCCTTTCTGTGAACATGGTGAAAGCTTCATTCTTCCCTCTTCAGGTTCTTGCTTCTCTCAACGATGACGAGGTAATTAATTCGCCAGAAAGAAGAAATTGAATTTTGATTATTACTAGCTAATAATGCTAAACAGTAGTTCATGATGAGTGGGAAATGGGAGGCTGATTAATTAATTTATGGACAGTGTTGTAGTTGTACTATCCCATCACTACAGCCACAACTACCAACTATTACTCATTGTACCACTAGAGGGACTAACTTGGACTTTTTCAATCATCTTCTTGTCCTAACTCTCTTCCAGTTTGGTTATTCCTTTCTTCCTCACGTCGTCTTCTGAAATTTAAGTAAAAGTCTCACTGTCATAAGGTTTTCTTATGATGACCATTCAGATAGTTAAGTTTATATCTCTGCTACTGATCATGAGTGAGGTGATTAAGTTCATCTATATTTCTTTTAATCCCATCATCAGCAGAAAATTAAGTGTTTCTTTTTTCTTCCTGCAGCAAAGAAACGATGTCGATGATCAAACAGTGGAACCTTTAAAAGCCTCCGACGAGCGTCACAGCCCGCCATTAATGGTCTCCTCCGACAATGACGATGAAGAAAGAATCCCCGTGAACCCCATTGTTAACAAACGTAAGCACCACATCAGTTTCACTTCTAGCTCACAACTGCTTAATTGATGAGCTTTGTAGAATCTGATAACGTTTCTTAATTGGGTTTGTTCTCAACAGCACCAGAGAAGAGGCAAAGAGCCCCTTCAGCTTATAACCGCTTCATCAAGTAAGATAATACTTCTCAATCCATTTCCCATTCTTGCACTCACTTCACAGTTCACACTACTTAATTACTAAGTAACAAAACAGCTACTTAGGCTATGTATTATGAGCAAACTACTGTTTTTTTTCTTTGGATTTCCATTTTTGAAGTTTAGGTTTCTTGGATATTGTTTAATTGCGACAGGGAAGAGATTCAGAGGCTGAAGGCTAGAGAGCCCAATATGACCCATAAGGAGGCCTTCAGCACTGCTGCTAAAAATGTAAGCATCCTGTCACGATGAGAAGAACATGGAAAAATTTTATATTTGAAGGGGGGAATTTGAACTGACTTTTCCTTGCATTTTGACCGGTTGGACCATTTGCAGTGGGCCCATTTCCCTCGGATTCAGTACAATAAAGGAGGTGGAGAGAGCTGTAGCCAGGTAGAGGAGAAAGTGACAAGGAACCTAGATGCTTCTGATGAGGTGATAACACTATAATGGTGGAAAACCATGATGATGTATTCTCATTTAATTTTCCCAGTTGAAAGCTAAGAATCTTGGTTCTCGTAGATTCCTTTGAACATCTCTTTTAGAAATAATATGTCATGATATACGTTCTTAGTTGCAGAAATTAATACAAACTAAGTTAAGAGTGTTGCACTCTCGATCGCTTTATACCTTGTGCAAATATGTATTAATCAACTTTGTGCAATCGATATGGGACCAATCAATCAGTTCACATATAAATCACCATAGTTAAATGATCGATTAGTAGAGAGAGAGAGAGAGAGACAGAGAGAGAGAACAACAGTTGGTTGGGTACTTATTGGCTGCGCCTTCAACAGGAGATGATTACAAGATGTTACATTAAAAAGTGAGTACGAGATTATAAGGAAGGAAACTTATTCCTTCTAGCCTTCTAGGAATTCTTATTTTTTTCTTTCTTTCCGCTGATATCACTGTTCATTCGGATGGTTTATCTCTCGGTAAATAAAAACTGAAAGCCACAAATTGTGCTACCACGAAGAATTCAGTTGTTTGCAAGTATATATAACAGCAGATTTTACATTGGGTCATGGTCACCCTGCGATCGAACACTGTTTTTGAATCATTGACTTGGCATTTTTCTTTAACCATGGATAGATCTCATCCCAAGTTCCCAACCCAAGAATCAAACAGAGATGATTGTTTAAACTGTTGGCAGTGATGAGTGAATATGTCCCAAGAACAGAGTTGAGATTAGTTTATTCATGAAGATTTTGATGGCATGGCTCTCTGCTTGTTGCTTCGGTTTATTTCTGAACAAGACACCACCATGTGTTGTTGATCAGGATTTTAATGGTGATCCTGCTGTAACCACCAGTGCACCTTGATTGTGGGTGGTTTGTTTCAGGACATGGACAGAACTCCGATCGATCCTTGTCCATCATCATGATTCATGACCAGTCTGCCAATTGCACCAAACAATAAGTACCCAATTGGAAGGTCTGCAATGTCTGCAACTCTTTTGAAAGAGGAAGGTAAATTAATGGGGTGGTGGGTGGAAGTGAAGGAAAAAGTCGCCGGAGCTCCAACGTGCATGACGGAGAATATCGGATATAGAAGAGAGGGTGAATCTCTTCGAGGCCAAATGCAGTTGCATGATTCTTTGTAGCTTGTAGGATGTTTAGTCCAAATGTCAGGTTGCCTTTGTTTTGACTTTTGACGAGGGGTAATTAAAATGACGTGGCAAATACTTTGTATTTGGATATAAATACATAAAACCCTCTCACCTTTTGGATTAATGCTGAAAATCTCCCACCGTCAAACAATAAGGTCATAGGATTTTTATAGGGCCCGTTTGCTTTGGGGTCTGGAATCGGAATAGGAATAGGCCGTTCTGGTTCCAACTTCCAACTGTTTGGTTGGGCCATTGAATCTAAGGAATGGCGGTCATTCCCCCTCCCTTGCCAATGAAATCCCAATCCAGCTGATTTCAATTATTGTCTAAACCAGAAAGATTGTGAGAATAGACCATTCCGATTCCATTTCCATTTCCATTTCCGACAGTAAACCAAACGGGGTCCTATTAAATCTTACACGACCCAGCTGAAAAGGTTTTGAATTTTGTGGATTTAATGATCTACAGTGGTCGGTGGGTTAACAATTACCTACCCAACCCAGACAAACCAACATAGAAAAAAACTAGGGATTCTTTTTTTTTTTTTTTGACATTTATATGTTGTACTGTTTGGCGAAATATATTGTTTACAAAAGCAAAACCCAAATGGGAAAAAAAAGACTTGGGTAATTCTGTTGTATTTTTAATTAATTGGTTAAAGCTAGACAACATGTTTTATTCTCTATTCTCTGAAATCAAATGCTGAAATTGGGCCTTTAAATTTCTAGTGTCATGGATCGAAACACAAACAAGAACAGGGAAAAATTAGTATGTATCTTATTAGTAAATGTGCACATGTAATAATAATTTAAAAAATGATAACTTTAGTAATGACTTTGAGATAAGTGGGAATACCGGATGCATCATGCAACCAATTAGGGGTGTGTGGTTAGATCTACCTGAGGTAGTGAGGTTGCCATTTGATAGGAAATATGTAATAGAAGTGTTAATGTTAGAGGAAAGTAGGTTTTTAATGGTGTACGTGGAGAAAATATGTCTTTAATGGTTTAGATTGGTTGATGACTTTAATGTAAGTGTCATTTACAAAATTTGTAATACGATGATTAATATAATTTCAATTGTTTTAATTATCACTTCTTTATTAAAATGTTAAAATATAAAATTAACCCTTTGAAATCTATAGATGAGGGGTAATTTGACCAACCTATCATGGAGTGACACATGGCACATCCAAATTGCCCCAAAACACGTTAGCACAAAGTACCACGTGTATCCCGAATTGAGGAGACCGATGTGACAACAAGGCAGTGCACACTACCTCAATAAAGAAGGCCGAAAGGCCGACCTGCACTTCTCCTCCTCTGACCTAGGCAACTAGAGACCCAAGCAGCCAACCGACCTCTAGGGTACTGATCTACGTGGCAGGTTAACCTTATCCGGAACAATGTGCCTATCGGTTCCAAGTCAGGCGGTAGCACGACACCCATCCGGCACGGATAACCCCTATTGGATTTTAATCTCATAAGAGATTAAATCCAATGGGTTTGATTGGTCAATTACATGAGAAATTTCACCTATACACTTGATTGGAAAATTAACTTTTCTCTTACAAAATCCAGTTTTGAACTTGTCCCACATTGGAAAATTATAAGCTTTGTTTTCAGTATTTTAATAGGAGCTGATTTACACTCCTTAAAAATAGTAGAGGAGAGTATGGGGTTTGATACTACGCAACGCGCATGTATGTGACACACTTTGCTCGCACTTTGCGCACACTTTGCGTGGCTCGCGAAGGATGGGTTTTGTTTTGGTGCGATGCTGACCGTTGATCACCGTTGATGAGATCAATGGTCACCATTCGATCGGGTGTGATCAAGAGGCACAATTCAAAGTTAACAGTAATTAACTGTTAACTACCTTTTAAACAGTCACAATGTTTGAAATTGTTCAAGGTGCCTTCTCTGAACCAGCACCTACCTTTTCTTCATACCTCTTCATAAACTATTTAAGGAGCATGAATTAGACTTAAAAAACACACATTTTTGAAATCCACATTCTCTCTCTCTCTCAGTCCGGTCTGCTACAGTCTCACAGAAGGCATCTTCGGAGATTCTTCAACTTTGCTGGTAGCTGATTCTCACCCAAGGCTCTGTTGTATCCTAGGAACGGGTTTGCCTGTAACCCAACAACAAACTCAATGAAACTAAGTGGGGGGCAAATAACGTTGTAAAGGCAGTGTCTTTAGACGTGCCTCAGAGATTCTCCTCCAAAGTTACAGTGACCCCATTTTCCAACAATTTTAGAATGTTATTCTGCAATGGAGGCGGAAGCAAGCATGACTTCGATCAAGATGATGAACCAATATCTTGTTCGACTAGACCAGTTCGATGGAGCAAACTTCAGCCGATGGCAAGATAAGATTATCTTTTTTTTTTACCACACTAAAACTATAATATCTGTTGGACCCGAATCTGCAATCATTTCCTGAACCCAATGACAAAGACTCAGAAAAACTAAAGAAGGAAATAGTAAAACGAGAAGAAGACTCACTTCTGTGCCGATGACACATACTGAATACCTTATCAGACCGGTTCTACAACTTCTACAAGGAACTTACATCTCCAAAAGAAATCTAGAAGGCCCTGGAATTCAAATACAAGATGTAAGAAGCATGTACAAATAAATATCTTATTGTAGAATACTTTGACTTCACCAGGAACGACCATAAGCTCATACTGGAGCAAGTTCGTGAACTACAGGTGCTAGTCAACAAAATCCGATTCCTTGACATCATCCTTCCTGAATCTTTCCAAGTGGGAGCAATCATTGCCAAACTTCCACTCTCTTGGAAGGATTACATGAAGAAGTTTCTGCACAAGCCTGAAGAACTTACCTTGGAGCAAGTTCAACAGCACCTTCATATTGAAGAAAAGTCTCGAATTAGAGACAGTAGGGATAAGACCCTAGCCGGTATGCTGAACTCTAAGGTCAATTTTGTGGAAAACAGATCAAAGAAGACTAACCCTACATTACAAGTAAAGAAGAAGGATGTGAACTTCAAGAAGAACAACAATAAGAAATGATCCTGTTATATTTGTGGAAGGAAGGCGCATTATGCCCAAGTTTGTCGACATCGGAAAGGCGGAACCAAGTCTGCAAACATGGTAGAAGACAATCTAGTGGTCATGATTATTGAAGTCAACATGGCAGAATCGTCTTCTGGATGGTGGTTTGATTCAGGCACCACAATCCATGTTTGCAAGGACAAGTCATTGTTCAAGACATGTGAAGAAGTGACTGATGGGAAACCAAACATGTGCCAAAGTTGTTGGAAAATGCAGCATAGAGTTGAACTTCACCTCTGGAAAGACACCGACTCTCTTGAATGTTCTCCATGTTCCTAAGATTAGAAAAAACTTGGTCTCAGTAAATCTTGTCTGTAAGAGGGGATTCAAAGTTGTTTTTGAATCYRAYAAACTAATCCTATCCAAGAATGGGATGTTTGTTGGAAATGGATATGATTGTAATGGTATGTTCAAATTAAGTATTAATGAAGAAAAAGTTTCTGCTTATATTGTTGATTCTTTCTCTTTATGGCACGATAGATTAGCACACTTGAATTTTAAATCCATAAAGAACATGAACAAACTTGGTATAATTGCTTATAGTAATGAATCAATTGAAAAATATGAGATATGTGTAAACTCTAAAATGGCTAAGAAACCTTTCCCTAATATTGAGAGAAATTCTCAACTTGTAGAACTAATTCCTTTTGACATCTGTGAACTTAATGGTGTATTAACTAGAAGAGGTAAGAGATACTTCATAACATTTTTAGATGACTTTTCTAGGTACACCTATGTCTACCTTACGAGAACTAAGGATAAAGCCTTTGACATGTTTAAACTGTACAAGACTGGAGTTGAAAATCAACTAGAAAAGAAAATTAAAATACTTAGAAGTGATAGGGGTGATGAATACTTTAAAAATGAGTTTAATTCTTTCTGTGAAGAATTTAGAATAATGCATAAGTGTTCTGCTCGCTATACCCCTC